TTTGCCACCAGCGGAGAAATTCCAGGTGAATTCCAGCTACGACTCAGCCACTCGCTGGCTCAGAGCACAGGGAAAACCCTGGAATCATCAGGAATGCAAAGGTTTGCACTTCCAAGGACTTACATCCCCCCGAAAGCCCCAGGGAAATGATTAATATTTGATTCTTACGCCGCATGGGGTGCTTTGGAGGTTAGAAAAACAGGGAATATTTAATGGAAACACTGAGTGGAGCCAAGGGCACAGCGAGGAGCATCATAAACATCTGCTCCAAAATATAAATGTTTGGAAAAGCTGGACTGGGAGTAGCACTTGGGCCTCTCCCCGGGACTGAGGAGCTGGAACTCAGCGGAGGAGGGAAAACAAAGGTGGAACAAGGCAAAATAAGGGTGGAACAAGGCATCACCTTTTTCCCCTCAAAATCCACCCCCAACACCATTTTGCCGAGACCCACCAAACTCACACTAAATAACAACCAAAAAAAGAGGGGATTTTCTGGGAAAAATCTCGCAGAATTCAGGGGAAAAAAAAAAGTGCAGGAGGAGAAACTGCAGCAGTTCCCTCCAGGATCTGTCCTGGCCCCCCCCGACCCTGTTCCTGCCTCTCCAAGGTCACAATCCCCCTCCTGTGCCATCGCTCCCGTTGCTGTGGAAATCAGCGTGTCCCAAACAGCAGATTAGACCCTGCAGTCATTGGGAACAGCAGGAACTGTGTTTTCATAGGGATTTCTGCCTCAGGAGCCAACAAAATTAAGGGGGGATTAGAGAAGCAGATTCCTGAAACTTCAGAGCCTTCCCAGAGGAATCGGCAGCACCCGAGAGTTTCCAGGGAGCACAAACACAGGGAGAGGGGCGGGAAAAGAGACCAGGGAATCATGGAGTGGGCCGAGACGGACATTAAAGCTCATCCCATCCACCCCCTGCCGTGGGCAGGGACACCTCCCACTATCCCAGGTGGCTCCAACCCAGCCTGGGACACTCCCAAGGATGGGAAATCCAAAACCAATCCACAAAACTAAAGCAGTGTTCCCGTGGAAACACTGACCCTGCCTCAGGTACCCCCAGAAGGAGGGGAAAAGGGGAATCCCCTCCCAGAAGGATGCAGCAGGAGGAATCTTACCTCCATCTGGGATATCTCCGATGTTATTTTCACCACCTTCTTTTCCGTGATCCTGGGGGGGTTGGGAAAGAGAGAAACCAGTCAGAGCAGCTCCTGCAGGTTCCAGAGACATGTCCTGGTGGGAAAGGGGTTAGGAATCTGCTCTTGGCCACACATTCCCAACCCAACCAAGGGTCTGTGTGGAAATGGGAGCAGCCACGAGCCAGGTTTGTGGACTCTCCTCAAATCTGGAGCCCAGCATTGATGCCAAAGGGAAGGATGAGGTCTGGGAAACTTCTAACCAAAATTTTGGGAATATCTGGGGCAGAAAACATCACCCAGCAAAGGAACAGCTCTTCCAGCATCCCTGAATTCCCTTGGGAAATGAGGTGGGATCACACCAGGAGCAGCCACACTCTCATTCCTTCAGGATTGGAGGGATCATGAACCACTGAAAGCAGAACAAACCACCCCGTGGGGACCCCAAAACCAGAGGGATAGGCACTGGAACTGAAAAAAGGATGGACTGGACACTGGAACTGCAGGAACAACCCCTGGCCCAGCTCAAGGCTCCTCCAGCTCCCGTGGGAAGCCCAAAGCCTCGAATCACTGGGGAGTTTTATTCCTTTATGGCCCTGGAACACAAAGAGTTGTTGTGTTCTAGTTCATGGGGCAGCTCCAGGCATATTCCCTGCCCTCTGGGCGATTCCCACCCCCTACTTCCCCCAAAATATAACGGAAGGGGTGGATTCCAGGGTTGGATTCTGGGGCTTGTGCTCCCAAAACACAGCTGGGGTTTGAGGGGGAGAAACAAAGGAGGAAGAGCCGAAGTTGGGAAATTCCCAGGAGGGAAGGAGCAGCTCCTCCCCCCACAAACAGCTCCCATAAAACAGTGGGAACGCCAGGCTCATTAAGGAAAGTGAGCGGCTTTTGTTCCCGGTCCGGCACAGGTTCCCCATTTTATGCCTGGAAGGTCCTAATGGCTTAATGGCACTTCCCCAGGAAGCAATTCTGCCCTGGAGCCGGGCTGGGAACCCGCTGGGATGGGATGGGAGCAGGGCTGGGATGGAGCTGGAACGGCCCCAGGACGCCCCCTCCTGCCCAGGAGCTCCCGAGCTTCTTTCTGGGGTGGGAGAGCTGAGAGCTCCTCTCCTTCCACGGGCAGCAACACTTCCCCCCTGCCCCGGCGGCTCCAAGTCCTGACCAACCCAGCCTGGGACAATTCCAGGGATGGGGCAGCCACAGCTTCCCTGGGGAATCCATTCCAGGGCCTCCTCACCCTCACAGGGAGGAATTTTGTCCCAATATGCCACTTAACTCTCTCCTTTCCCAGTGGGAAGCCATTCCAAAGGATCAAAACCCACGGAGTCTTAACCCCAGGAACCCTCACCCACAGATTCTCCCACCCCAAGGATGGAATCCCACGGAATCTCCAGTCTCAAGAAATCTCCCACCCCCAGGAACCTCCAATCCAATCCCCCCCCACCGTTTCCCACCCCCAGGTGACCCCCTCAGGACCCCCGGTCCTGCTCCAACACGTGGGATCCACTCCCTCCTTCCATCCCACCCTTCCTCCCGGGTGGTGGATGAGTCCCGTGCTCCCTTGTGCTCCCGGATTTTCCAGGCAGATCCCAATTCCAATATTTACACATCAGGGGATTTCACCGGAGCCTCTTCCACCTTCACGGGCGGCTCCGCCGGCTTCGGCTCTTCCTCCTGGGAACCAACGTGGAGAGTCCGTAAGAAACATCCCAGCCACCTTTCCTGGGTGGTTTCCAAGGCACAAACCCCTGTTCAGCCCAAACATTCCCAGGAATTCACAGGTTCTGTGTCCAGTGGCCCCTCAGGCTTCGCTACAGGAGGGTTGGAAACTCTCCCTGTGCTTTTCCAAAGCCCCATAATCCCTTCCCAGAAGGTCTGGGCTGCACAAGGGGCTGGGGATGACCTGAGGGTGACATTCCCAGCCCAGCATAGAGTGGGGATGGCCAGGAGAGTGGGAATGACCAGGAGCGGCTCCAGCAGCACCCATCCTGCTTCTCACCCAATATTTCGTGGGTAAACAGGGAAAAATCCTCCTTATTCTGCACTTGATGAGCAGGAAGGAGCCTGACAGCGGAAAGAGTCACTTCCTGAGGGTGTTTTAGGCTGTATTTTTTTTCAGGCTGGACTTCCTGGCCCTGACAGGAACAGGGCTCAATCCCACGGGATCCACGGGTACCAACTGGGAGACTTTTCCTTAAACAGCCTTAAAACCCCCAGGTGTGAATCCCGCTGGGCATGGAGGGAACAACCCTGTTCCGAGGGATCCCAAAAACTGGGATCACATCAGTGATGGGATCCCCCATCCCACCCTCTGGAGAATCCCAGTTGGCAAACCACGACCCCCGCGGGATCATCCCAACCAAAACCACAACACACCTCTATCTCCTCTCCCAGCACGTCCTCCTCGTTGGCTTCTTCTTCAGCTGGAGGACAAAACAACGGAGCCATTGGAGCAGTAAAACACCCCAAGGAACCTCTGGATTCCCAGAGAACACAGGAATCCAGGCGAGAATTCCGGGGGATTCGGGAAGGGCCCGCAGCACCCACCGTGCTCCTCCAGGTAGGCCTGGAGCCGGTTGATGAGGTCCTGCTTGTTGCCTTTGGCCTCCAGCCCCCTGGCCAGGCATTCCTGCTTCAGCTCTGCCAGCTGCGGTGGGAAAAGCTTCCGTGAGTTGGGAAATACAGGGATTGAACGTAGGCATCAAAGGGGGGTTGAAGGACGGAAAGGAACTGGGATGATTTGCTCCAGGGGGAGTGTCCCAGGGGAACGTCCCTGGGACCCTCCCAGGGAATCGCTTTGGGACCTTCCTGGGGACCCTCCTGGGAGAATCCACTAGGGGAACCAACCAAGGGAACCCCCGGGGACCCTCCTGGGGGACCCTCCCGGGAGCCACCGCTGGGCCCCTCCTGGAGGAACCTCCCAGGGGAATCAACAGGGGGAACTTCTTGGGGACCCTCCTGGGGGACCCTCCCAGGGGAACCTCCCTAGGACCCCCTTGGGGAAACCAAGTGGGGAACTCTCCCCAGGACCCCTCCCCACTAATCCCCGCCCCAGGTACCGCCGTCCCCGGTATTCCCCCCCGGGTCTCTCCCATGCGGCTTCGCTCCCACGCGGGGCCTCAGGGAGCCCCGACTTCAGGGGTTCCGGCCCCCGGAGAGGTCACATCCCCTGGGGAGGGGGTCTGGCCGGCCCCCCCCGCGGCGGCCGCGGGTGCTGCCCCCCCGGTTCCCCCTCCCAGCCTGCCCCAGCCGCGGTCCCCGCGACACCTTCAGCTTGTGCAGCTCCACCGGCTCCGCCGCCATCTTGTCCCCGCCGCGCCGGCCCCGCCCCCGCCCGCGCCGGCCAATCAGCGCCAAACGCGCCCGAGGGACGCGGCAAGAGCGCCGCCCGCCATTGGTCAGTTCCGCCCGGCACCGCCCTCGTGGTATTGGTCGGTGGTGTTGAGTGACGTGGGGACGGACCAATGGGAGCGCGGCAGTGCCGGAAGCTCGGTATTGGTATTAATTATTCGTTATTAATTTGTTAATTATGGGATCATTAATTTAACCCCCCGGCCGAGGGGGATCAGTGACCATCAACATCCCTGGCCCTCACACACTCTCCCTTCCCCCACGTATCTGCCAGTCCAGCCCCTAAATGGCCTTAAATTGGCCCCTGGATTACTGGGGGTCGTGCAAGCCCCCAAATCCCTGGTTCTTTGGGAGCTGACTGAGCCCCCAAACAGCCTCTGGTTCGTTGGGGTCTGACTGAGCCCCCAAACAGCCCCCAGCTCTGTTTTGTTTCCCCTCCCAACCTGCAGCTCCTGGGCCACATCCACCCCCTCCTTTTTTAAAACAACTCCCCCACGTTAAAAAACACTCTCTTTTCTTAAAAAAAAAAAAAAAAAGAAAAATAGATTTTTTTATTCAAAGAAGCCCTTTGGCGGGGCCTGGGGCCCCTCAGCGCGGGAGCGGCCGCCGCACCTTCTTCCTCCTCTTGTGCTTCGTGTCCCCCCTGGGGGGGACCCCCTCGGGTCTGGGGGGGCCTCCAGGCGGGGCTGCGGCCCCGGGGGTGGGGGCGGCGGGAAGGGCCCCCCAGGGGCTGCCGGGGTCTGAAAGATGCGGGCGAGGAAATCCTGCAGCTCCGAGGGGGTGGGGGGGCTGCCCTTGGGGGTGGTCCTGGAGGGGCGACAAAGGGGGGTTTGGGGGTCTGGGGCACCCTGTGCGGGTCAAACCGCCTGAGAGAGGGTGCGATGGCACCCTGAGACCCCCAGGGCATCGTGTCACCCCCAGGTGACCCCTCCCCCCGGCACTCACCGCTGCCTCCCGGGCGGGGGGGCCCTGGCGCCGAAGGACAGGTGGTAGGGGACGCGGTGCGTGTCCGGGGAGATGCCCACACGCTGGCACCCAGCCCACTCTGGGGGAACAGAGACCACTCATCAGGGGGTACCCCAGGGGGGCCACAGAGGGTGGGACCCCCAGGGATGAGTACCCACTGGGTGTGGGGCTCTGTGACCCCCCCACGGGTGTGGGGTCCCTGTGCCCACCGGTGATGTCATAGACCCTGCCGTCCATGCGGGCCATGTAGGTGATCCTGAGCCCCAGCAGGTGGGACTCTGCCCACAGGTCGCCCTCCTCGGCCGGGTGCAGCCCCCCGCACTCAGCGCAGTACCGGGCACGCTGCGGGTCCCTGTCCAGCTCAAACCGCCTGGGGGGGACGGCACCGTGAGCCCCCCAGGGCACCACGGCACCCTGACCCCCACGCCCCCGAAGCCCCCCGGCCCACCTGTGGCGGCCCCCGCAGCGGCTGCAGGCCATGGCGTTCATGGCCTCCCTCAGGTCCTCCTGCAGCCGGCTCAGGAAGGCTCCCACGGACCGTGCCAGCTCGCTCTGTGCCAGCCTCTTCCTGCGGGGAACACGGGGGGTCAGAGCCCTCCACGGGGGATCAGAGCCCTCCATGGGGGTCAGAGCCCTCCACAGGGGGTCAGAGCTCCCCCAGACCCCCAAACTCACGTCTCGTAGTCCCGGCGCCGCTCGGGACTGCTCACCCGGTCCCAGCCCGCCTGCAGCACCTTGAAGGCCTCCTCTGCCCGCGGGTGGGGGCTCTTGTCAGGGTGCACCTGGGCAGGGAGCGACCCTCAGGGGCCTGCGGGGCAGGGGTCCCCAGGCCCCCCCAGCTCACACCCACCAGCACGGCCAGGCGTCGATAGGCCTTTCTGAGCTCGGCGTCGGCTGCCGAGGGCTCCACCCCCAGCACCTGGAAGGGGTTCAGCTCCTCCTCGGGCACCTCGGCCAGGGCCAGCAGCCGCCCCAGCTCCTCCTCCCCCGCTGTGGGGATGCCCGGGGGGCTCCTCCGGCCCCGCAGCCACTGCCGGGGGTCCCCCAGGAGCTCCCGAGCCCGGCGGGCTCCGGCGGTGAGGCCACGCCAGCAGAGCCGAAGCCCCCCGAGGAGGAGGAGGAAGAGGAGGAGCAGCAGCGCCAGGAGCGCCCCGAGCAGCCTCAGGCACAGCCCGGCTCCCGCCCGGGCCGCCCGCAGTGACCCCCGGCCCCAGCCCCGCAGCCCTCCACCCTCCTCCTCTTCCTCCTCCTCGTTCTCCCGGGGGGCTCCGCGATGCCTCGGCCACCTCCGGGCCCTCCGGGCCCTCCCGTCACCGTCGGGGGCTCCCCGGTGGCGGCAGCCGAGCCCGCAGGCCCCGGCCCGGGGCTCCCCCGCGGGGCTCGGCGTGGGGGCCAGGGGTCCCCGGCAGCCGCAGGGAGTCCCGGGGTCGCCGCTGCCCCCTCCGTCCTCCTCGTCGTCCCCCGGGCCGGGGGCGGTCCCGGCGCGGCCGCAGGTCCCGTTCCAAGCAGCGCTGGAGACTCCTTCGGCCGCGTCCCGGGGCCGGGGCTGCTCCATCCCGGGGTTAAGTCACGGCCATCCCGGTCCTGCCGGGGCTGGAGAGAGAGAGAGAGAGGGGTCAGCGAGGGGCAGAGACCCCCAAAATGGGCCGGGAGCCCCCGAACGGCCTCTGGGGACCCCCCGACCCACCCCGGGACCCCTCGGATGGGTCCCGAGAACCTCCGAAAAGGGCTCCGGGGAACCCCTGAACGACCCCGGGACCCCCAGATGGGCCCCCAAGAAACCCGCAAATGGACCGGGAGGGGGAGCTGGGGGTATTTTGGACTCACCGCGCTGGTACCGGTGTGGGGGGGGTATGTTAGGGATGTTTTCGGGGTATTTTGAACTCACCGCGCCGGTACCGGCGGTGGCGGGGGGGATGTTAGGGATCTTTTCAGGGTATTTTGGACTCACCGCGCCGGTACCGGCGGGAAGTGTGTGCTAGGGATGTTTTCGGGGTACTTTGGACTCACCGCGCCGGTACCGGCGGTGGGGGGGGGGTCGCCGCCGCCGCCCCCCCCCAGGTCCCCTCACGGTCGTACTTCCGCTTTCCACCCGCCGCCGCGCCGGCCACGCCCACTTCCGGGGAGGGGCCTCACGAGAGGGCGTCGCTTCGCCCGCCCCTAAAGGGGTGTGGCAGTCACGACTGGCGTGACCACGCCCCTTCGGCGGGCATGGACACGCCCCTTGGCTGGGTGTGGTCGCGGTCCCTTCAATGGGCACCGCCACGCCCCGTATCCCTGTCCCCGCCTTTTAAAGGGGCATTTCCCACCTTAAAAGGGCAATGCCACCCGATATCCGCGGTGGGCTCCGCGCGTCCCACACTGCCGCCCCCGCCAGGCCTCCCCCGCCAGGGCCCCCCCTGTGCGACCCCCTGTCTTCCCCGGGACTGGCCCCACGCGGGACCGGCTCCTTTCCCGACGCTTAACTCCCGAATGCCGCCCCCGCCCCCGCCAGACCCCGCACGGGACCCCCCGACGGCCACGAACCGCTCCCGGTCCCGCCCCTCCGCATCTCGGCCCCGCCGCGATCCCCGCGACGTCTGCGACGGTGAGTCCCGGGCGGGGGGACCGAGCGGAGATGGGACCCCCGAGCGGGGACCTCCCCCAGGCCTCGGTGGGAACACTGGGAGAGCTCTGGGATGAAGCTGGAGGGGCGGGGGGAGCGAGTGGGGATGGGAACCCGGTCGGAGACTCCCCCGGGCACACCCCCCTTCCCCTCCAGTCCCGTCCCACAGCGTTCCCAGTACCCCCTCCCAGTGCTCCTAGTGCCCTTTCTCAGCACTCCCAGTACTGCCACAGACCCCTCCCATCTCTCCCAGTTCCCCCAGTATGCCATTTCCCAATGCCCACTCCCAGTGCCCCCATCGCCCCCAGTTCCCCCTCCCAGCGCCCCCAGCCCAGTCCCTTCCAGATGTGCCGCCCCTCCCGCAGCGTCGCTGCCAGATGTTGGGTGTGGGGAAGGGGTCGTGGGGAGGGGGACACGAGGAGGGGGTGGAGGAGGGGGTAGGGGGTCGGGGTCGCTCACCCCCCGCCCCCACAGAGCCCGGGGGGCGATGGACCCCGGCGCCCCCCCCGCAGAGCCCCGCTGTGCCCTCGGACCTCGGGGACCCCTCGAGCCCGTCCCGGCCGCGCTCTGCGCCCTCGGGGCGCTCCTGGGTCTCGGCTGTGGCTGCTTCGGTGAGGGGGGCACGGGGTGACCCCCGGGGGCACGGCTGGGGGCTGGGGGGCTCCTGGGGCTGGGACTGAGGGAATCCCGAGGGAGGCACTGCTGGGGGTCGGGGGACCCTGGGGCACTGTCAGGGGCTGGGGGGTCCTAAGGGCACACCGGGGAGGACCCCGAGGGGGGCACGACTGGGGGCGTGGTTGGGGGCCTGGGGAGCACGGCGGGACCCCAAAAGAGAGCCCCAGGGACCCTGAGGGCATGGCTGGGGGGACTGGGGGCACCCTGGGGAGGCAGGGGCCACAGCTGGCACCCAGAAGGGATGGCACAGGGGCCACTGGGGGACAACTGGGGGACAACTGGGGGTCCTGGGCAGAGAGGATGGCACAGGGGACAGCGGGGGGCACGGGGGACACCGCGACCCCCAGGGACTGCCCAGTGCCCACCAGCACCGCCCCCACTGACCCTCATCGCCCCCCAAGGCTACCGCTGCTTCAGGGCCGTCATGTTCCTCTCGGGGCTGCTCTTCGGCTCCGCCGTCATCTTCCTCCTGTGCCACCGGGAGCGCGTCCTGGGGTCCCCGCTGAGCCTGGAGGCGAGCGCGGGCATCGCGCTGGGCATCGGGCTGCTCTGCGGGCTCCTCACGGCGCTGCTGCGCAGCGTGGGGCTCTTCACCACGGGGCTGCTGCTGGGGCTGCTGGTGGCGGCGGCCGCGCTGGCCGCGCTGGCCCCGGCGGAGCCCCCCGGCAGCCCCTGGGTGGGCGCGGGGGTGGCGCTGGGGCTGGCGCTGCTCGGGGCCCTCTCGGCGCTGCGCTGGCCCCGCGCCCTCACCGTGCTGGGCACGGGCGTGGGGGGCGCGGCCGCCCTGGTGGTCTGCGCGGATTATTTCGCCGAGGGGGCGGCGCTGGTGGGGTTCGCGCTGGCCCGGCTGCGGGGGGCGCCGGGGGGCCCGCTCTGCTGGCCCGGGTGGGCGCTGCTCGGAGCGTGGCCCGCGCTCAGCGTCACCGCGGTGCTGCTGCAGTGGAAGGTGACGGCTGGAGGGGCACCGAGGGGACACGGTGAGGGACCCCCGGGGGGAGGGAGGCGACAAGGGAAGGGTGGGATGGGAAGGGGACGGGGCTGTGGATGCGGGTGGGGATGAAGGTGAGGATGAGGAGGGTGAGGTGGCAATGGGGACAGGGAGGAGGGAAAGGGTGGGACTGGAAAAGGACTGGGACGAGGCTCTGAATGCTGGTGGTGGTGGGACGGATGAAGGTGAGGGTAAGGAGGGCGGGGATGGGGTGGTAAATGGGGGTGTCCCAGGTCGGGGGTGTCCTCGGGTCAGGGTGTGTGCCGGGATCAGGGGCTGACAGCTCAGGTCTCGCCCCCTCCCCACAGTCCTCAGTCGGCGGCAGAAGCGGCTCCGGCACAAGGAGCCCAAACCCTCCCCCGAGGGTCCTCCCGGCCGCCAGGCCCCTCCGGCCCAGCGTTGCATGGACCCCCCGAGCCCCGGGGACCCTCGAGACCCCCCGAGCACCGCCCAGAGCCTGCGGGACCGGCAGCCGGACAGCGGGGCCCCACCGGGACCCCCCAACGCCGCCCCCCTGCCCCGACACCGCCTCTGAGCCCCCCCAACGTGCCTTGGAGACCCCCACACACACACTTCGGTGTCTGCACCTTTAAATAAGCAAATGAAGTGCCTCGTGCCTCGCCACCGGGGGCGTGGCCTGTGGAGATGGGCACGTGGGTGGGTGGGACACGCGAGGGGAGTGGGGGAGAGCCCTGTGCACCCAACCCACCCCTCCGGCCCCTGGGGACACCCTTGAAAAGAAAGCCCCTCATTTATTTTTGTAGGACCTACCCAAATACTTTGAACCGTGGGCTCAGCCCCCTCCCCTTCTGTTGGAGGGAAGGAGAGGGGTCCTAAAAGCCTTAACCTCCACCCTGGGTGGGGGTCTCACTCTGCCCTGGGACCCTCCAGCCTTGCCTGACTCCTACAGCACCACATGGCCCCCACCCTGGGGAGGGTCCAGCCACCCCCCAAGCCCCCCCCAGGGGGTCCAGGCCTGACCCCCCCCACGCTGGGTCAGTGCTGCAGTTTTTATTCTTCCACAATTTTTAAAAATAAAGGGAAAAAAGAGAGAAAAAGAGAAATAAACGCGGGGGGAAGGGGCTGTGACACAGAATGGGGGGGGTGGGAAGAGCGGTGGGGCACGGTGGGGGGCACGGCCACCTCCCACATAAACCCACATCGATCCAATTAAAAACCAGGAGCTGCCGGGTCCTTGCCGGGAACAACCGTCCTGCCCTCCCCTCCCCAACCCCCCCAAACCGCCCCTGAGACCCCCCAGCCCCCCCTACGAGTCCGACTCGAGCCCCCTGAGTTCGTCCTCCAGCGCTTTCCTCCGGCCCAGCTTCTCCAGCTGCTCCTGGGTGGGCTGGGGGAGCCCCTCGGCCTCGAGGCGCCGCCGCAGCTCCTCCACCTGCCGCAGCTTCTTGCGCAGGCTCTTGATGCGGCGGCTGCGCTCCGAGTTCCCGGCGCCGTCGCCCCCCTGGGCCGGGGGGGCCCCTCCTGTCCCCGAGAGCGACACCTTCTCCAGTGCCGAGCTCAGTCCGTCCGTGTCCTGCGGCTGCTCCGGGGCCTTCTCCTGCTGCTGCCGCCGCTTCTCCTTGCGCTTGAGGTTCCTGCGCGCGGCCTTGGACAGCCCCTGCTCGGGGGGGGGGCCCTGGGGGGGCCGCGCCGGGGCCGTGTCCAGGCTCAGCCCCGGGGGCAGCTCCGGTTTGCTCCGGAAAAACTTCACATATTTGTTCTCGTACCTGCGTGGGGAGGGATGGGCTGAGGGGGTCCAGGGGGGATCCACGGGGGGCTGTGAGGATCCAGAGGGGATCCCTGTGGGAATATCCACAGAGGGGGCCAGGAGGGGTCTGTGAGGGATCCCGGGGGCGTTATGAGGGTCTGTGAGGGTCCGTAAGGGAGCGGTGAGGGAATCTGCGAGGGGCTGTTGAGGAACACGAGGGGGCTGTGGGAATCCAGGAGAGGCCCAGAAGGGACCTGTGAGGGTCCAGGATGAATCTGTGAGGGATCCCTGGTGGTCCAGGAGGAGCTGTGGGGGAATCTTGAGGGACCTGTGAGGGTCCATAAGGGATCAATGAGGGATCTGTGAGGGGCTGTGGGGCTCCAAGAGGGGCTGTGAGAGGATGGAGGAGATCCAGGAGCGGTGCAGGAGGATCTGGGGTCCATGAGGATCTGGGTGGCATATGCAGCCCCTGGGTTGGGACCCACCCACATGGGGGCACAAACTCAGCCCTGGGAGGGGGGACACGGCCCCAAGAGCCCCCCTCCCCACCCCAGCCCAGGGACCCCCCCACTCACACGGGCACCTCCTCCTGGGGGACGTATCCCTCCTTCACCCGCCGCTGCTTCCGCCACGTCCCGTCCGGCCGCTGCGTGGAGGGGATGTACCTCCCTGGGGGCACAGGGGGGCATGGGGGCACCTCGAGCCAGGGGGCTCCAGGACACCCCCGCGGATCCCAGGGGAGGTCTGGGAACACCCACAGCAGCCTCAGGACAACCCCACGGGGATCCCAGGACACCTTCAGGGAGGTCCTGGGACCCTCCACAGACCCCACGGGAGTCCCAGGAGACCCAACAGAGGCTCTGGGACACTCCCACACAGACCCCAGAGGAGGCTGGGACACCCCCAAGGGGCTCTGGGACACCACACCGAACCCAGGGGAGCCCCAGGACAACCTCCAGCTCCCCGGACACCCCCCGAACCCCAAGGGGACCCCAGAGACCCCACGCCCACCCTCAATGGGCCCCAGCACCCCCACCCAGAGGTCCTGCGAAATACTCAGAGCGGCTCTAGGACCCCCTCACAGACCCCACAGGATCCCCAAAACCGTCCACCGCAGCCCCCTGCCTCCCCCACATATCCCCAAGACCCCCACCGCGGGCCCCACGCCCCCCACGGGCCTCCCTCAGCGCCGGGACCCCCGTGAGGGTCGGCGGTGGGCGCGGCCCCCGCGCTGGGGGGGGTGGGCGAGCGGGGCCGTACCCGGGGCGGTTCCGGGGGCGTCCCGGAGCCCCCGCCCCCGCGGCCCCCCCGCGCTCACCGGTCTCGTCCGTCACATAGGGCGTCGCCATCTTTGCGCGCGCGGCTCGGCCCCGCCCCGGAAGTGACGCCACGGAAGAGCCTGCCGAAGCTAAGGGGGCGGGGCCATCCAGAGGGGGCGTCTCCAATGACCATGTATAGACGTCATGGGGCGGGACCGCAGAGGGGGCGCGGCCATTGGACGCCTCGAAGAGGGGCGTGGTCCGTGCCGGGGGCGCGGTCTGGGGCGTGGCCACCTTGAGGGGCGCGGCTCTCGAGGCGCTCAATGAGGGGGCGTGGCCGCCGCAGGGGTGTGGTCTTTGAGAGACAAGGCGCGGTTTAAAAGGGCGTGGCCTCAGAGACGCCATGTTGCTTTTAAAGGGACCGCGTCCGGCCCGGTGCCCCCCCTCGGAGAGGAGACACCCCCCACACCGCCCACCCCCCGGGTCGGGGCAACTCCCCGGGATGGAAGAGCCCGCCCCCACACCCCCCCCCGGGGAACACCCCGACCACCACTGGGATGGAGAGACAGCCCACCCTCCCCATCCCAATTGGGAATTCCCGGGATGGAGAACCCCGAGAGAGACCCTCCGCATCACCGGGCACCGCCCGGGATGGAGACACGCACACACATGAGAATTCCCAGGATTGGGACCTCTGTCACCCCAGGGACCCCCGGGATGGATCCTCCCCCTCCTTGGGAATTCCTGGGATGGAGACCCCCAGGATTGAATCCCCCTCACCTGACAAGCCCGGGATGAAGGCATGCGACCCCCCCCGGAATGCCCAGGATTGGGACCCCCGGGAAGAGACACCCACTCCCTCTCCCCTGGGAATCCCCCCTGGATGGGCATTTCCCGGGATGGGCCCCCCTTCCACGGCCTCCCCTGGTTGGGACCCCCGACCCTTCTTTGGGGGGTCCCCTGGGACGGTCCCGGCCACGGCGGCACGTGCGCGGTGTCCCCCCCCTCACCGGTCCGTGACGTCACGGGCGGGGCCGGACCGGGAGATCCCGGACCAGGTACGGACCGAGCGGGAGAGCCCCGGGGGGTCGGACCGGGGTCCCAGGGGCGTTACCGGGCTGAGCCGGAGCGGTGCGGGGTCCTACTGTTCTGTACGGGGGCTGTTTCGGGCACTACCGGGATGGACCGGGGCGGTACCGGGCGGAACCGGCGCGTTACCAGGTGTAACGGGCTCTAACGGGCCGGACCGGGCGCTGATGGGGCAGTATCGGGCTCTACCGGCAGTACTGGGGCAGTACGGGGTTGAACCGGTCCGTACCGGGGCTGTTCCGGGCACTACCGGGACTCTACCGGGCTCTACCCGCGTGGTACCGGCCACTACCGGGATGTCCCGGGGCCGTCCCGGGCGCTACCGGGATGTCCCGGGGCCGTCCCGGGCGCTACCGGGGCAGTACCGCGTTCTACCGGCGGTACTGGGGGAGTCCCGGGACGTACCGGGCTGCACCGGGGCCGTTCCGGGCGGTGCCGGGCGGTGCCAAGGCCGTACCAGGCGGTACTGGGGACTCCTCGTCAGCGGGAGACCCCCGGGGGTCCGTTCCCTGCTCTCTCCGGTGCCCCCGGGGTTGGGCGGGTCCCGCTCCAGTCGCGCACCGCCCGCTGGGGGCCAAAGCTCAGCTGGGGCCGCACACACGCGTGTTCAGGCGTGTTCGGGGGGTGCTCACACGTGTCAGGGCGAGGCCACGCACGGGCAGGGGCTGCACGACCACCCCCAACGACCCCCCTTTTCCACCCCCATCACGGACCCGCGTGTGATCCCGTGTGGATCCCGTGCGATCCCATGCACATCCCGTGTAGATCCTGTGCTGCTTCCACGTGATCCCATGCAGATCCCGTGTAGATCCTGTGCTGCTTCCACGTGATCCCATGCACATCCCGTGTAGATCCTGTGCTGCTTCCACGTGATCCCATGCACATCCCGTGTAGATCCTGTGCTGCTTCCACGTGATCCCATGCACATCCCGTGTAGATCCAGCACAGATCCCATGCAGCTGCCCTGTGATCCTGTGCAGGTTCTGTGCAGATCCCGTGCCTTTCCCGTGTGGCTCCCGTGTCTCAGCCATGGAGCAGACCCGGCCCTGGGCCCCCCTGAGCCCCGCGGACTTTGCGCAGCTGCAGAAGTACCTGGACTGTGAGTGGGGCCCTGCACATGCGTGTGCCGGGGGGGCTCACACGTGTGGGAGGGGGGCTGCACACGTGTGGGGGCTCTGCACACGAGTGCACACCCCAGGGCAGCTCCACACGCACACACAGTGGCTCCACACGTGTGTGTGTGTGTGTGCGTGTGTGTGTCCCACAGCAGCCTTGCACGTGTGTGTGGCCTCTCTTGTGTGCCAGCACGTGTTGTTCCCGTGTGCAGACATGTCAGGGCACACATGTGTACCAGGTGCAGCTGTGTCGGGGCACACACGTGTGTGGTCTCTCCCACATCAGGACACACGTGTCAGCACACACGTGTCAGCACACACATGTCAACACACACATGTTAGAGCACACACATACATCAGCACACACATGTCAGAGCACACGCGTGTCCCTGCCCTCAGACAGCAGCCAGAGGGTGCAGGATGTGCTGCAGGATTTCGGCGGTGGGGAGGCCCTGGCTCAGCCCCACCAGGGCAAGGTGAGACCTGGAGGACCCCTGTGGGGTGGGGGGGGGTCAGGGGATCACCCCCCCACCCCCCCAACCCGGCCGTGCCCCCTCAGAGCCTCGACCTCGAGGGGTTCTCGCGGTTCCTGCGGAGGTACCTGGAGAGCGACGATGTCCCGGAGCAGCTTTGCCAGCGGCTCTTCGCCTCCTTCCAGAGTCAGGACGGTGAGGGGGCTCGTGGGGGCGGGGCAGGGGGTCCTGGACGGGCTTTTGGGATCCCTGGGGGGCTCACGGGGTCCGTCCTCACAGGCAGCGACTGCGTCTCCCTGAGCGACGTCTCCTGCTACTTCTCCCTTCTGGAGGGGGGGCGCCCCCAGGACAAGCTGGAATGTGAGTGGGGGGTCCCAGAGGGTCTGGGGGGGCCTCAGGGACAGGGAAGTCCAGATTTGGGGTCACCTCACCTGCTGTCTCCCCACAGTCTCCTTCAAGCTGTATGACAAGGACGGGAACGGGGTTCTGGACAGCTCGGTGAGCAGCTGGGGGGGCTGGGGGGCTCTTGGGGGGCTGGTGAGCGGACTGGGGGAGCTGTGAGGGGGGGCTGTGGATCTTGGGGGGCTGAGGGACCCCCCCAGCTGTCATTCCATCCCCCCCCCAGGAGGTGGATCGGATCATCACCCAGATGATGAGGGTGGCCCAGTACCTGGACTGGGATGTGACAGAGCTGAAGCCGGTGAGCGGGGCCGGGGGGGCTGTTTGGGGGTCCATCCCCCATCCCTGTGCCCCCCCTCTGAGCGCCATGTCCCCCCCAGATCCTGCAGGAGATGATGCGGGAGATCGACTACGACGGCAGCGGGACGGTGTCTCTGGGCGAGTGGCTGCGTGGTGGGGCCACCAACATCCCGCTGCTGGTGCTGCTGGGGCTCGAGGGGGTGAGTCTGGGGGCGCTGGGGGGGCCCCCCCCGGCCCAGAACCTCCCCCGAGTGCCCCCCGTGTGCCCCCTAGGACATGAAGGACGACGGGCAGCACCTCTGGCGCCTGAAGCAGTTCTCGCGTCCCGCCTTCTGCAACGTGTGCGAGGGGCTGCTGGTGGGGCTGCGGAAACAGGGGCTGCGCTGCTGCCGTGAGTGGGGATGGCAGGGATGGGACAGGACGGGGCGGGGATAGGATGGCTACAGGGACAGGATGGGACAGGGATGAGCATGGGATGGGAATGGGATGGAGGGACCAGCTCTGAGCTCGTGTTCCCCCCAGTGTGCCGGTTCACGGTGCACGAGCGCTGCGCCCGCCACGCCCCCCACAACTGCATCAGCACCTACGCCAAGAACCGCAGGGAGGCCGAGGTGAGTCCACCTGTCTGTCCGTCCATCTGTCCGGCTGGGCATCTGTCCACCCACCTGGGCATCCACCCACTCATCCACCTGTCTGTCCACCTGCCCCTCTGTCCTTCTGCTCCTCCGTCCAGGGTGGGGGTGCTGAGGCTGGGGGGCGTGACATGGGCTGCTGGGGGTGACCCTGGCAGTGGGGTGGGGGAGGGTGCGGGGGTGACCCCAGGGGTGACCTGGGGGGGTCACCTGCAGGTCCAGGCCCACGTGTGGGTGAAGGGCGGCTGTGACGGTGCCAAGTGTGGCGGGTGCCAGAGGAAGATCCGGAGCTTTCAGAGCCTGACGGGGCTGCACTGCGTGTGGTGCCACCGCAAGGTGGGGGGGCCTGGGGTCCCCAATTTCCCCCGAACACCCTGACCCCCCTGTTCCCAGATCCACGACGAGTACCAGCCCCCTCCCCGTGTTGTCCCTGTGGTATCCCCATCCCTTTGGTGTCCCCATCCCTGTCCCCATGGTGTCCCTGAACCCACGCTGTCCCCATCGCTGTCCCTGTGGCCCCCCTGCTCCCTCTGTCCCCAGATCCACGAGGAGTGCCAGCCTCTCATGCCCCCAGCCTGCGACTGTGGGGCCCTGCGGGACCACATCCTGCCTCCCGCTGCCATCTACCCCGTCCTGCTGGTGAGTGGGGTCCTGGGGGGCTCTCCTGGGGCAGAGGTGTGCCCCCCACTCCCCTCCCGGCCTCCCCTGAGCCGGTGTGGGGGTCCCAGGAGAGGCAGGACAGCCAGAGGGACAACGGTGGGACCCCGGTGGAGGAGACCCCCCAAGTGTTCACCACCCCTGAGGGGCAGGCGCTGCGGGTGAGCCATGAGCCCCTTGAATGTCTGGGACTCCCTGGGGCCCCTCATGTGCTCCCTCGAGTCCCCTCCATGTCTCCCCTGGGGCCAGGCTGACATCCCCTCTCCCCTCAGGTCAGCCCCCCCCCCGAGACCCACCCGCTCCTTGTCTTCGTCAATCCGAAGAGCGGAGGGAAACAGGGGGAGAGGTAAAGGGGAGCTGGGGGGTCCTGGGGCTGCTCTGCACCCGGGGGGGGACAGGATGGGGTGGGATGGGACAGGATGGGGTGGGATGGGACAGGTTGGGGTGGGTTGGGATGGTGTGTGGGGACCAGGATGGTGGTCAGACAGTATTTCGTTGTGGTGGGGAGGGGGTGGCCACCGGTCCCCCCAGCCCCCCTGTCCTCCCCAAGCTCCCCCAGCTCCCCCTCTCCCCTCAGGGTGCTCCGGAAGTTCCAGTACCTGCTCAACCCCCGGCAGGTTTACAACCTGCAGCAGGGAGGCCCCATGCCTGGGTGAGTGGGGACGGGGCAGGGGAGGGCACTGGGGTACCCGGGGGATCCAACCCAGCCCTGACCTCCCCTCCCTCCCAGGCTCGATTTCTTTCGGGATGTGCCGGATTTTCGCGTCCTGGTGTGCGGCGGGGACGGCACCGTGGGCTGGATCCTGGACGCCATTGGTGGGTGCTGCCCCCCCAAAATGGGTGCTACCCCCCCCAAAATGGGTGCTGCCCCCCCAAAATGGGTGCTGCCCCCGCCAGCCCCCCAGGCTCTGCCTCACCCCCTTTTCCTTGCAGACAAAGCCAACCTGCCCCACCGTCCGCCCGTGGCTGTGCTGCCCCTGGGCACTGGGAACGACCTGGCCCGCTGCCTGCGCTGGGGGGGAGGTGAGAGGAGCAGGGCAGCCTGGGGACACCCCCCGCGCCCCCAGCCCCTCTCCCCCTCTCCCACTTTCCCCCTCCTGCCGCAGGGTATGCGGGGGAGGACCTGGGCAGGATCCTGCGGGAGCTGGAGGGCGGCACCGTGGTGCAGATGGACCGGTGGAGGCTGGAGGTGCTGCCCCAGGACCCGGCGGCCGAGGGGGACCCGGTGCCCCAGGGGATCATCAACAACTACTTCTCCGTCGGGGTGGTGCGTGGGGAGGGCAGTGGCCACCGGTGGGGCCATGTGTCCCCCCCAGGGCCTCACTGTCCCCCCTGGGTTCCCCCCAGGATGCCTCCATCGCCCACCGGTTCCACGTCATGCGGGAGAAGCACCCGGAGAAATTCAACAGCAGGTGGGGGTGGGTGGGGACAGGGCCCCTCCCGTGGTGTCCCTGTGGCATCCCCATCCCTATGGTATTCTTATCCCCATCATGTCCCTGTGATGTCCCACATACCCGTGGTATCCCTGTCCTCATCTCCCTAGTGTCCCCATCCCTGTCCCCATCCCTCTGGTGTCCCCATCTCCACGGTGTCCCCAACCCTGTCCCCAGCCCCATTCCCACGGTGTTCCTGACCCCACCCCTGCCCTCCCAGGATGAAGAACAAGCTCTGGTACCTGGAATTTGCCACCTCTGAGACCCTTTTCTCCACCTGCAAGAGGCTCAAGGAGCACCTGAGTGTGGAGGTGGGAGGAGTCCCTGCCCCGGGATGGGGGGGGAGTTCAGGGGGCTCTGCCCAGCCTGACGTGCCCCCCCCAGGTTGGCGGGACCCCCCTGGAGCTGGGGGGAGCCCTGGAGGGGCTGGCAGTGCTCAACATCCCCAGCACCCACGGGGGGTCCAACCTGTGGGGCGAGACCCGGCGGGCACTGGGGCCCAGCACGGCGCAGCCCCCCAACATCACCGACAGCGAGACCCTCCGGAGCTGCGTGCAGGGTGGGTGGGGAGACCCCCTCCCCAGAGCCGGGGGGGACACCACGGGGATGGGGGGGACACCATGGGATGGGGGGGCATGGGGATGGGGACAGGGACAGGGATGTGGACAGGGACTGGGACAGGGACGCCACGGGTATGAGGATGGGGATGGCGTGGGGATGGGACACCACAGGGATGGGGACAGAGTTGTCATAGGGATGGGGGACACCACAGGGACATCACGGGGATGGGAATGAGGATGCCACAGTAATGGGGCCAAGGACATCATAGGGATGGAGATGCCAAGAATCTGCCCCCACCACCCTGACCCCTCTCTGTCCCCCAGACCTGGGTGACAGGCGGCTGGAGGTGGTGGGGCTGGAGGGGGTTCTGGAGATGGGGCAGATCTACACCGGGCTGAAGAGCGCGGGGACACGACTGGCGACCTGCTCCGAGCTCACCCTGAGGTGAGGGGAGACTGGGGGGGTCTTGGGGGGCTCTGGGGGGTCCCAGGACAGGCCAAGCCCCGGCAGTGATTGACCATGGGGGGGTTTGCAGGACACTGAAGGCCCTGCCCATGCAGGTTGATGGGGAGCCCTGGATGCAGCCGCCCTGCACAGTACGTGGACACCCCCCATCCTCACTGAGCCCCCCAGGAACCCCCTGAGTGTGGGGGCACCCCCAGCCCCCCAGCACCCCGCCCCAGCCTCTGTCTTGCAGATCAGGATCACCCACAAGAACCAGGTGCCGATGCTCATGGCTGCCCCGCCCCGTTCCTGTGGCTTCTTCGGCACCAAGAGGGGTTCCCTCGAGGCCTGAGGGGGCTGGGGGGGCCGGGGGGGCGCCCCCAAGCTGTGCCTGGGCAGGCAATACAGGCCAACCCTCCCTACATCCCCCGTCCCCAGCAGGAGCAAGGGGGGCTGTGCCCCTCCCTATACCCAGGGGTGCTCAGAGCCTGGGGGTGCTGGGGGGTACGGGGGGGCTGCATGGAGCCCCCCAGGGTACAGCGCAGTGGCCAGAGCCCCCCACCCTGTCTGGCCCCCTCGCTATTTATTCCCACCCCAATTTCAAGTGCCTCTCGCAGTAATAAAGCTGGTGTTGTAATAAACACTGGGGCTGGTTGTGTCCCCCGGCCCCCCAGGCCCCCCCAGACACATGACCAGGTGGAGGCACCGGCGCAGCTGAGCCTTTAATCTTGGTGGCATCGAGGCCACGCGACCCCCCCACAGCCCGCGGCCCCCCCTGGGTCTGGGGGCTCGGGCCAGGCAGGGGCGGCGCGGGGCGGGGGGGCTCTCTAGACGGTGTTCCCGCGGAGGAGGGGCTGCTCTCGCCACTCGGAGCCCCCCCGAAGGCCCGGTGCAGCAGCAGGCGGAGGGCAGGGCCGGGGGGCAGCCACCCCCTGGGCCGGGGGGCCGGAGGGGCCATGGCCAGCAGGGGGGTGTACTTGACTCGTCTGGGGGGACACGGAGGGGGCAGTGTTGGGGGGCCAGGTTGTGCCAGGGTGCCCCCCACCCCACGGTGTATGTGTGTTCCCCGGTGTCCCCACCACCCCACAGAGCCCCCACCCCACAGTGTGTGTCCCCAAGTGTTCCCTCCATCCCACAGAGTCTCCCACCCTACATGGTGTGTCCCCAGTGTTCCCCCATCCCACAAAGGCCCCAGCCCCATGGTGTGTGTGTCCCCCCTGCTGTGTGTCCCCCGCTGTCCCGAGGCCCCCAGCCCCCTGACCTGTAGGTGTAGGCAGCTGTGCCCAGAGCAGCAGCGACGAGCACCAGCCCCACAAAAATCGTGGGGCTCCCAGAGGCCGGGGCAGCGCCTGTGGGCAGGGACAGCTCAGCACCCCTGGCCTCCAGAACCCCCCACCCCCAGGGCCCCCCGACCCGCTCCCACCTCCGACAGCCACGCGGGTGCTGGCCACGGCCAGGCCGTTGCCGTTGGCCAGGGACACGTTGAGGCAGTAGAGGCCGGACTGGTTGAAGTCCTGGCGCAGCACGAGTTGGCAGCCGGGCGCGGGTTCCACGGCCGAGCACGTCTCCGTCTGCACCGTCTGGCACTCGGGGTCTGCCACCACCGTGCACACCTCCTGGGGGAGGCTGCGGGGGCACGGGGGGGTCAGCTGATGTGAGCCTCCCACCCCAGCGTGGGGTCACGGCCCCCGCCCCCTCCCCATCCTCACCTCCCCTCGCATGTCACCGTCAGCTCCACGCTGCTCTCGCTGCCCTGGGGCACCACCGGCACCACCTGCACGATGGCCACGCTCTCGATGCCCTCTGCAATCAAGGGGTCGAGGTGGGCTCAGCGTCCCCTGCCCAGAGCCCCCCCAGAGTCCTGCAGAGCCCCCCGGCCTGGTACTCACGGACGATGTTGAGCTGTGTGGAGAAGGTGCCGTAGCGGTACAGGATGCAGCCGGTGGAGTCTGCGGCTGGTGCCTGGCGCTTCACCAGCACCAGCGGCTCAGCAGTGGCTCCAGTAGTGGCGGGAGCAAGGGACAGAGCCGTGGCTCCCACGGTTGCTCCCACTGTTGCTCCAGCTGTGGCATCAACCGTGGCTCCAACTGTGGCATCAGCTGTTGCTCCAGCTGTGGCATCAACCATAGCATCAATCGTGGCTCCAGCTGTGGCTCCAGCTGTGGCATCCAGCTGTGACTCCAGCTGTGGCATCAAGTGTGACTCCAGCTGTGGCTCCCACTGTGGCTTCAGCTGCAGGTCCAACTGTGACTCCAGCTGTGGCTCCAGCTGTGACTCCAGCTGTGGCATCATCCGTAGCTCCATCTGTCTCTGCATCTGCAGGAGAAGAGGCTGGGAACAGCCGAGGGGACACCGAGCCCTCGGGACCACCCCCCAGACATGTCCTGCCACCCCCTGCCCAGGGCAGCACCCACCTGCAGCCATCGTTCCCTCCAAGGGTGTGGGGGCCACTGTGACCAGGGTGTCCCCAGCTGGGACCACCGAGGTGGGGAGCAGGGGGGTCCCGGACACTGCAGCAGAGCCGGCCTCGGTGCCGCTCACCGCGGTGCTGAATGCCAGGAGGGCGGGCTCGGTGACAGAGGGGGCCGAGGGATCAGTGACAGCAGGGTCTGAGGTCTCGGTGACAGAGGGGGCCGAGGGATCAGTGACAGCAGGGTCTGAGGGCTCAGCTGCAGATCCCCCCGTGGGCTCCGCTGGCTCGATGCGGGGTGTGGGAGCTGCGGGCAGAGCAAGGGCCGGAGGTCACTCCTGTCGGGGAACACCCGTGGGGACCCCCGGACCCGCTGTGCCCCCTTACCGGTGCTGGGTGCCCCGGTGGTGCCCTGCCCGCCCGGCGTGGTGCCTGCGGGCTGCGTGGGCGTGGGGCGCACCGAGGGTGGGGGACCCGTGGTGGGGTTCACGATGGGGGCGGCGGAGGTGCCACAGGGGCTGAGGGGGATGGCGGCCTGCAGGGTCAGGCGGGCGGTGAAGGACCCGGCCTCCAGGTAGGTGTGGGTGACGGTGGGGCTGCGCGAGATGAGGGTCCCGCTCTGGTCCCCGAAGTTCCAGGAGTAGGCGATGTCGGCGTCGCGCAGGTACCGGCTGGGGTCGTGCAGCCGCACGGTGAAGGCCACGGCGCGGTTCCGCACGAAGCGCCCGTCGCCCGCAGCCGCGTCCTGCACCTGCTTCACGTCCACCGCAAAGGGAACCTGGTCTGGGGGAGGCAGGAGGGGCTGTCGGTGAGGCCATCACCATCACTGGTTCTACTCCCGCCGCCCCAGTATCTGTCACCCTGACGCCCACGGCCCTGGCACCCACAACTCCACTGCCCGCAACCCCCCAGCACTCACCAGTGATGCTGAACTGGGTGCTGGCACGACCGATGGGGATGAACTTCTGACGGCCACGGTAATGGTAGACGACGACCTCCATGGTGTAGGAGCCGAGGGGGACCCCGGCCGTGCCCACCGTGAGCCGCGACGCTGCCCCATCCACCACCTGCCAGTAGCGCCCTGTGGGGTGGGACGGGGGGTCAGCACCTCCTCAGGGCTTCCCCGGACCCAGGGGAGGGGGTCGGAGCCTTACCCCAGGTCCACCAGACGTAGACAAATTTGCCCTTCTTGCCCCTGGGGAAGGGCTGCCCGTCAGGGAAGATGCCACCCACGTCCTCTTCTGGCTGCTCTGGAAAGACAGGATCGCCCTGGGCCACGCGGGTGCCTGTGGGGAGCAGAGAGTGAGGGACGCAGGGCAGGGTTCCCGGGACAGGGGTGGGGGGTTTGGGGTGGCCGCTGACCATTGACGGTGCAGTTCTGGCTCCAGACGACGCGGCCGTCGGGAAGCGCCGCCTGGGTGCCGGGGAAGCGCAGGGCGATGGAGAACGTGGCGTCGGCACCCGCCATGGTGGGAGCGTCGTTGCTGATGTCGAAGGTGACTTCGCCGCCTGCCCGGCACAGGGACGGGGGCTCAGCGACATCCCGAGCCCCCCGCAGCCCCCACGGCCCCCCCAGGGCACCCACCTCGCCAGCAGTCACGCATCCCCTCCTGCCACGGCCGGTACAGCCCCGCGTCCCAGCTCCGGAACGCCGCCGGCCGCCCGCTCCAGGCCTGGCTCCGGCCACGGCTCCGGCCACCAGATCCTGTGGGAGAAGGGCATTGTGGCACCCAGACCCCAGCCCAGCACCCCCGACCTGCCGGGCAGCCCCCCCGGGATGTGTTGGCCTCTCGGTGGGGTGTCCTCTGGGACCCCGGGCCATGTGACGGGCTCGGGCCAAGCCCCACGCGGGGCAAAGCCCATCACATGCGCCCGGTGCCGCCCCCAAAGCCCTTTCATGTGACGCTCAGCTGAGCCGGCGCCGGCAGCCCCAGCCAGGGCGGGGTTGGGCACCCCCCTCGCGGCCCCCCAGTCCCGGGGGGCTGCCAGGACCCCCATGTCCCTCACTGTCAGGTTTCTGCCAGGTCTCCCCATATGACCCCATTTGTAGGGGGCTCAAGGACCCCCCATGTCCCCCACTCACACAAGTCTGCCAGGTCCCCCATGTCCCACTCTCAAGGGTCCAAAGAGCCCCCCCATGTCCCCCTACTCTCAGGGGCTGCTGGATTCCCCTCACAGACAGAGTGGGGGCCCCCCATTTGAAGGCAGCACAGGGTTGTGTGTCCCCCGTTTACAGAGGGATGGGGACCCCCTCTGTCCCACCCCACTCCTGAAGGGCTGGAGGTCCCCCCTACATCTTGGAGAAGGATGAGGACCCCACAACAAGCCCTCCAAGGCCTCCAAGGGGAGATTGTTGGTGTGTAATCAGGATTTGGCTTTGGAGGGTTCTGCTCCCATCGGTGCCCCCCGTAGCCCTCAGAGCACTGGGATGGTCCCATGTCAGGCTCTGGGTGCTCCCCAGATCCCCCCCAAGCCCCCACTTACGACGCTGAGCTGCAGCCAAGGCCAGGAGGGTCCCCAGGACCGCGATCACTCTGAGCACCCGCATGGTCCCTCTGTGTCGTCTCCCCCCACGCTCGGGCACCGCCGGGGTAGAGGCAAAGGGGTTGGGAACAGGGGGATTTGAAGGGGCTCTCATTTGCATAATCCCACCCCAAAAAAGGGGGGTCCCAGCCCCTCCCCCGTGTGCTGCGTGGGGACACGTGTGTCCATGCGTGTGCGGCCCTGGTCACACGCTCCAGCCCTTCTCCGGGTGGGGGAGGAAATGCGGGGTGACACAGAGACACTCAGCCCGGGGAGGGGCTCTGGAGGTGCTGCCCCCCTGCTCTCAGCACCTGGTGGCCCCAGGGACCAGGGGGATTTGGGGTCCACGGGGACCCTCCACCCATCGAGCTTGGGGGGGGGGCCCTGCTGTGCATGGTGGGGGGCACATGTAGGGAGACCCCCGATCTGACACACACAAAGGGGTCCCCGATGCCATCGACATGGGAGGACCCTCAATGTGACACCCGTGGAGGGACCCCCATCCCACCGACACGGAAGGACCCTGGCACTGCGCGTTCAGGGGGACCCCCTCGCCGTTGACACGAGGGAACGCCGATCTTTGCTGCTGGGGGGTTTTCCAGCGCCCACCCGGGACTCGCACCCCGGGGGGTTTCAACCCGCGCCCGTGGAGGTCCGTGTGCTTGGTGTGACTGCTCGTGCGGGACGGGGCCCGCGGGGCCGCGTGTGCGGGACAGAGCCCGGACCCCGGAGAGCCGGTCCCAGTCCCGGTCCCTGTCCCTGTCCGCGTCACGATCCCACTCGTGGTCCCGCTCCCGGCGTCCCCCCGAGCGTTCCCTCCGGGTCGGTATCGCTTTAAGGGATCTCCCGCGTCGCCGGTGACGTCACGCGGGCCCGGCCAATGGCGCTGTGCGGGGGGCGTGGCCGGCGGAAGGCGGGAAGGGCGGGGGGCGGGGCTCCCCGACAATTGTCGCGCGCGCGGGGGGGACGCGGCGGCCGCGCTCGGGAACCCGCGACTCCCACGGACCCCCCCGGGACCTCCCCGCCCCCGGGACACCCCTCGGTCCCGGGATACCCCCCCAATCCCGGGACATCCTGCAGGGCACCCCCTCCACCCCGGCATACCCGCCCCACCCATCCCAGGGACCCCCCCGGGACATCCCCCAGCGCCGGGACACACCCCACCCCCGGTGACAGCCTCCTTCCCCGCCAGGGACACCCCCTGGGACCACCCCCATACCCCCTCCCTCCCCTCCACTCTCTTCTCACTCCCCCGGTGTTTTCCCGGTTCCTCCGGGACAGGGACACCACCTCCCTCCCTAGACTCTCCTTTCCCCCCCGCCGGTGTCCCCCGGGCCGCCCCCACGGACCCCCCATGGAGAACTTCCAGAAGGTGGAGAAGATCAGGGAGGGCACCTACGGCGTGGTGTACAAGGCCCGGAACAAGGTGACGGGGAGGTGGTGGCACTCAAGAAGATCCGCCTGGACACGTGAGTGGGGGGTCCCGGGGGCTGGGGGTGCAGGGTCCCGGGACTCACCCCCTCCTTCCCACAGGGAGACCGAGGGCGTCCCCAGCACAGCCATCCGGGAGATCTCCCTGCTCAAGGAGCTCAACCACCCCAACATCGTCAAGTAAGCGGGGGGCTCTGTCCCGGGGCTGGGGGTGGTGACGAGCCCTGCGACCGTGGAAAGACCACTGGCCGTGAGGGGGCCCTGGCTGTGGGGAGCCGTGGCTGTGAGGACCCCCACGGCCGTGGGCAGATGCCCCGTGGGGAACTGAGGCTGTGGCACGCCCGTGGCTCTGGCTGTGACAGCCCCGTGGCTGTGCTGAGCCCCTGGGGCTGTAGTGGGTGCCCTGTGGCCCAGGCTCTGCCCACCCCCCGCCCCTCCCTCAGGCTCCTGGACGTGATCCACACGGAGAACAAGCTCTACCTGGTCTTCGAGTTCCTGCACCAGGACCTGAAGAAGTTCATGGACTCCTCGTCCCTCAATGGCATCGCGCTGCCCCTCATCAAGGTGGGAGTGGGGGCCGTGGTGTGAGGCCCTAAACCCCCTGGGGTGACTCTGGGGTCTCTCGGTGTCCCCCAGGATGTGCCCAGCGGGTCCCCAGCCCCGCCCAGGTCGACACTGGAGTGCTCCATGGCACATCCTGGGGCATCCATTCCCCACACACCGGGGGGCTCTGGGGACCTCCTGGGCACAGCCCAGCGTCACCCTGATGAGGTCCCTGCCCTGCAGAGTTACCTGTTCCAGCTGTTGCAGGGCCTGGCGTTCTGCCACGCCCACCGGGTGCTGCACCGCGACCTCAAACCGCAGAACCTGCTCATCAACGCCGACGGCGCCATCAAACTGGCCGACTTCGGGCTGGCCCGCGCCTTCGGGGTGCCCGTGCGCACCTACACCCACGAGGTGGGCACCGGGGGGGCCGGGGGGGCGCGGGGTGGGCCGGGGGGCTCACGGTGTCCCCCGTGTGTGGCAGGTGGTGACCCTGTGGTACCGAGCCCCCGAGATCCTGCTGGGCTGCAAGTACTACTCGACGGCCGTGGACATCTGGAGCCTGGGCTGCATCTTCGCTGAGATGGTGGGTGCCAGGGGTGTCCCCAGGGTGACACTGGGGTCCCTGGGAGTGTGCCTTGGGGGTCCCCAGAGCCCTCCTCCAGGGGGATGCTGAGGTCCCCCGGGATGTGCCCAAGAGTGACTGTGGGGTCCCCCAGGCTGCTCAGACCACCCAGAGTGACTCTGGGGTTCCCCAGGGGTTGTGTCCTGGGGGTCCCCAGACCCTCCTGGGGGTGACACTGTGGACCCCTGGGCTGTGCTAACCCCAGCCTGGGGGTCGGTCCAGCGGCTCCCGGGGGGCAGCCCTGACGTCAGCAGGGTGTGGGGTGACAAAGGGTCTTTGTGAGGAGCCGGGGGGGACATCATGTGAGCCCCCCCCGTGCCCACGTCAGGCGGGCGACCGCAGGCCCCGGAAAACCAGGCCTGGGGTCACGCGGGGCTGGTGTGAGAGCTCACGGGGTGGGGGCTGCGTGTGACCCCCCATCCGAGGGGTCAGACCCCCCCAGTGCTGCACTGGAGGACAGTGAGGAGGAGGAGGGAGATGAAGGTGCTCAGCCTGGTCCCAGGGACCCCCAGGAGGGGCCATGGCCATGCTGGGGGTGAAGCAGGGCCCAATATAGGACCCCCTGTCCCTCTGGGGGTCCAGCTCTGCACTGGGGGGCCCCTGGGGGGTCTCAGAAGTGTGGAGGGGGTGGGGTGTGGGAGAAGGGACATCCCTGGGATGAGACCAAGGGTTTGGTGCCCAGGGGGTGACTCTGCAGTCCCTTGGATGTGTCCTGAGAGTCCCCAGACCCTCCTGGGTGACTCTGGGGTTCCCCTGGGTGCTCAGGCCCCCCTGAGGTGACTCTGGGGTCCCCCCCAACCCCTGCCCAGATCACCCGCCGTGCCCTGTTCCCGGGGGACTCGGAGATCGACCAACTCTTCCGAATTTTCCGTACCCTGGGGACCCCTGACGAGGCTGCCTGGCCGGGGGTCTCAGCCATGCCCGACTACAAGCCCAGCTTCCCGAAGTGGGCCCGGCAGGACTTCGGCAAAGTGGTGCCCCCACTGGACGAGGAGGGGCGGAAGCTGCTGGCGGTGAGTGAGGGGCTCAGGGGGGCGTGGGGGGCACGTGGAACCCCCCAACTTCCCCCTCACTCCCTTTTCTCCCCCAGCAAATGCTGCACTATGACCCCAACAAGAGGATCTCGGCCAAGGCGGCGCTGGGACACCCCTTTTTCCAGGATGTCACCCGAGCAGTCCCCCACCTGCGCCTCTGAGATGCCCCCCCACCACAGGGGTTCCCCCAGAGCAGAGCCAGACCCCCCCACCGGGACAGGAGGGGGTCCCACAGCCCGTCCTGCTCTGCCCCAGGGGCCCCTCCCCCCAGAATCTTGGCACTTAATGGCCCATGGGGGGTCTCTGGAACCAGCACGGGGAGGGGGGGCTGAGCACCTTTGTGTCCCCCCACCCTCCTCCCCCTTCTTGCTGTCCCCCAGCTTGGTGCTATGGGGGGGCTGTCCCCCCTCGTCTCAGTCCTGCAGGAGTGGGACAGTGGTTTCACCCCGAGGTCTCCCCCTGATGGGGACTCCCCCTTGTCCCCCTCCCGGCCCTCAGCCCCACCTCGGGGGCCCTGCTGCCCCTCCCCTCCCCCATCGTGGGGGTTTTTTTGTAACTTTGCAAATTTTGTAGCAAATGTCGAACTTGGCGTGTGGTGCCTGCAAGGGGGGGGATGGAGGGTGTGGGCTGTGTCACCATCGCACCCTGCTCTGTCAAATCACCTCCCACATTGCCTCCTCTGCCCGTGGGGCCCCCAAAATGGCACCCAGGCCTCCCCCCTTGGTTCCCCTGTCTGTGTCCCCCCCGTCCCCCCTATGTGTCCCTGTAGGGCCCCCCCGTCCCCCCTCCCGTGTCCCTCTCGCCCCTCCAACGCCCCCCGTGCCCCCAAGGCCACGCCCACCCGGGCTCAGGGCACGCCCCCACGCACCCTGGAGCGCCGTGATTGGCTGGCCGTGGCACCGCCCTCCGAGCCGCGGGCGGGGCGGCCGCAGATCGCGGCCCCCGGCGGCCCCTCCTGTCAGTCACGTGAAGCGCCTCCTGTGATTGGGCGAGGCTGAGCTCCCCGCGTTCCCATTGGCTGCTGGTACTCCTGGTTCCCGCCCCTTAGGTCACCGCATTTGTTGTCAGTTCCGTGCCCCCCGCGCGGCTCCATTGGTTCCCTGCCGCGTCACTCACCCAAGCCCTGCCTCCCCGTGACGCTCCCTCCCTTCCTATTGGCCGTTTCTCTGCCCATTTCTCCGCTCGCCGCCACCCATTTGCCAAGCGTCGCGGGGGCGGGGCGCCGTGCCCCGGCCCGTGCTGCCATTGGCGCGGCGTGGGGGCGGGCGCGGCGCTGATTGGCTGCAGCCGCGCTCGGTCCCGCCCACGGCAGCAGGGTTTGGTTGAGCGCTGTTTGTGCGCTCGGGGCCGCGCCGGGAGCGAGCGGAGGTACGGGGGGCACCGGGGGCACGGGGGCACCGGGAGGGGCACTGAGGGGCGGCCCCGCCGGGAGTGGGGGCCGGGGCGGGGCGGGAGCGCGGGCACGGGCGGGCCCGGGGCGCTGGGGGTTGGGGCGCCACTCCCCGGGCGGGGTTTGGGGCAGAATGGGGGGGCCAGGACCCCTCCCGGAGGGGTCGCGGTGTCGGGGCCGGGTCCTTCCCGAGGGGATCGGACGCGGCTCCCTTCTGGGGGTTTTATCCTCCTTCCCGCTGTGGGGGTGTTGCCCCCCTTTTCCCCCTCACGGGGGTGTTTCCCCCATTACTGGGGGCTTCCCCCCATATTCGGCCGGTTCTGGGCCCTTTTCCCCGGCCCAGGCAGAGGCACCTGGAGCCTCCAGCCCCTCCCCGGGAGTGGGATCTGTGTTGGGCTGTGGGACCTCTCGTGTTTGGGGCCGGTCCCAGTCCCGGGGGGAGTTCTTGGTGTGGGATTGGCTGCTCCGGGAGTCTGGGGGTGAATCACGGACAGGGAGATCCCCTGTCCCCTCCTGGCTCCTGCCCCATCCCGGCGCTGTGGAGGCTCCTCCAGGGGGGCTGGGGGAGGCCACGACTCCTTCCCCGCCAGGTGCTCATCCCTCCTCCCACTCCTGCCTGGAGCTGGGGATCTGAACTGGGCCTCCTCCAGAACTGGGGCTTCCACAGAATTTGGGAACCTACGGAGCTGGCGCTCCCCCCAAGCCGGGGTTCCCCCAGAATGGAGGTCCCTGGGTGCCCTCACCCTGAGCTGGGGCTCCCTGGGCCTCTCTGCTCCACTGAGGCTCCGTGGAGCCACGGGGTGCTCCCTGTCCCCCGAGGTGCTCCCTGTCCCCCGGGGTGCTCCCGTCCCCCAGGGTGGTCCACGCCCCTGGACTGTGGGTCTCCAGCAGCACCCAAACCCCCCCAAGCCATCAGGACACAGAGGTGCCCGGCCCTTCCTGGAGCAGCACATCCATGGATTCTGTCCTGGCCACCCACCAGCTTCTTCTCCCAAGGGACTCTCCTGTTCCCCACCAGGGATCCCTTGGGATATCCCTGGGAGGACGAGGGTCCTCTCCAGGGTGTCCTGGGGTGCTGGTGCATCGGTGGGGGGTCCGGTGGGGCCGGGTGGTCACTGTGCCCGAGGGGTTGGGGGACAGCCAGGGCTCGGACAGATCCCTGGAGCTGGGGGAGATCCTGGTGTGTCTCTGGGGAGGGGTCCCAGTGTTTCAATAATGAGGGGTCCCAGTGTTTGACTGGGGAGGAGTCCCAGGGTTGCACTGAGGAAGGATCCCAGTGTTCCATGGAGGAGGGGTCCCGGTGTTTTGCTGGGGAGTGACCCCAGGGTTTCCTTAGGGACAGCCCTGCCTGGGGTGCCCGTCGGTCCCTCTGGGTTAAGTCCTGGCTCCGCTGTCCCAGCCCTGTGGCCAAGGCCATGCTCCCCCATGCCCCACTGGGACCGGTCCTGGTGGTCCCAGCCCCGCGTGGCTCTGCCGGGCACGGTTGGGCCACAGGAACAGCCCGGGTGGCAACAGGAAAAGCCGTTACCCGGCTGGGCTGTCGCAACCCCGGTGACAGACTGTGCCGGCCACATCCCAGCTCTGTCCCAGCCCCATCCCAGCTCCGTCCCAGCTGCATCCCAGCTCTGTCCCAGCCCCATCCCAGCTCTGTCCCAACCCCATCCCAGCTCTGTCCCGGCCACATCCCAGCTCCGTCCCAGCTCTGTCCCGGCTCTGTCCCGACTCAATTCTGGCTCAGTGCTGGCTCAGTTCTCTTTGGGAGCGGCTGCACCGGGTGGTGTTTTGGGGGAGCCAGAACGAGGCCCCTTGGAATCCCTGTGGCTCAGCACAGCCCCAGTTGATCCGTTGTCAGGGCCAAGATCCCAGTGTTCCATTGAGGAGAGACGCCAGTGTTCCATTGAGGAGGGATCCCAGTGTTTTGAGGAGGAGTGATCCTGGTGTCCCATTGAGGAGGGATCCCAGTGTTTTGAGGAGGAGTGATCCTGGTGTCCCATTGAGGAGGGATCCCAGTGTTTGTTAAGGATGGATCCGAGCGTTCCATCAGTGCGGGATCCCAGTGTCCCATTGAGGAGGGATCCCAGTGTTCCAGCACACCCCTCAGCCAGGGAGAGCAGGGTTTGTATCCCCACGTGCTGCCCTGCTCGGTAGATCCGCCCATCCGGCAGCTGGCGGCACAGGAACACCCCAAATGGCATCAGAGTCCCAGGGATTGGGGGGTGGGCACCTCCCACCTGGAACCGGGATGTTCTGGTGGGAACTGATGGGTCTGATGGCCCAAAAATCCAAGTTTCTCTGAGGGAATCTGAGTCTGGGGGATTGTGCCTCCCATGATCCCTCAGAAGATCCCTGGGATCTCCTGGATCTGAGTGGCCAGCACAGGTGGGGATGGACACGTCCTGGAGCATTGGCTACATCCAGAGTGGGATGGGGCCATCCAGCCCCCGGAGTGGGAAGAGCCGAAGCCTCGGGGCTGTTTCTCCAGGAAACCAGGGGCTCCAGGGGGTGTCTGGAGGCTCCATGGGCTGTGCAGGGGCTCTGTGGGGAGCAATGGGCTCCTTGGAGCAGGGGGGAGGAGGAGCCCTTGCAGTGCTGGGGGTCCACAGAAAGCCGGGATCCACCGGGATCCAGAGGTCCTGGAAAAAGTGCTTTGGGGGTTGTAGCATTCCCTGTGCTTTGGGAGGAGTTTGTATTCCCAGGGCTCTGCCAGGCCTTGGGTGGGAACAGGACAACCCCCTTAACCTGGGTGAGATCTGGGATAGCGGGATAGGATCCATGCTGTGGTTGGAGTTGTTTCCTGCTGGGATGTGGCTGGATCCCTGCTCCCGGGAAGGGGAACTGGCCACAAACAACTTTCTGCCTGGGCTGGTCTCCGATCCCTGTCCTGGCACTGCTGGAATCTGCTGCGGGCTTGGGACGGAGCATTCCTGGGCACAGCGAGGTTAGATCCCGAGACAAACGCAATCCCAGCAGGAATTCCTCCTGCCTGGTGACCCCGGGCTCCCGGTTGGTCTCCAGGTGCTCCTCCCAAAGCCTTGTGGTTCCGGGTGCTGGCAGGGATTGTGCTCCATCCCAGGGGGATGTGCAGGGATTGTGCTCCATCCCAGGGGGATGTGCTCTGCACCCCAACCTGGGCAGCACCATCAACCCCTGCTGCTCCAGTTGGGAATGGAAATCAAATCAAAACCAGGGAGAAATAAACAAAAAACCCTCAAACCAGGGTGGGGGGAGGGTTTTGGGGAAGAGCTGGGGAGTTTTCCAAAGCCTCCTCCCGGCCGGCAGCCGGAGCCACTGTGGCATCTCCCGAGCCTGGAGCCGCTGTCCTGCCACCCCTTCCCGGCTCCGGCGTGTCCCGGCTGGAGCTGCTCGGGGAGCAGGAGGAGTGCTGACTCACTCCCAGCCTCCTCGGCTGCCGGATCCCGGCGGCCTGGCTCCCAGATTAGCTCCTTCCCACCGAGCTGCTCCAGGAAATCCCTCGGGAACTGGAGCTCGGGGAGCGCAGCCGTGGCCAGCGAGTCCCTGCCGTGTGCCGGGGGAGCCCCCAGCTAAGGGGGGGACCCCAGGGACGGATCCCGTGGGGACGATCCCACCCTGGGGAACGTGTTGCTGAGGGATCTCCCCTTCTCCCCACAGGAAAGCCGAGGGATCGGTGCCTTCCAAGCTCTCCAGCGGGTCCGGCAGCACCGGGGCCATGACGAGCCGTGGGGCCGCCAGGCCCAACGGGCAGTCCCAGGCCAGTAAGATCTGCCAGTTCAAACTGGTGCTGCTGGGAGAGTCAGCCGTGGGCAAGTCCAGCCTCGTGCTGCGCTTCGTGAAGGGGCAGTTCCACGAGTACCAGGAGAGCACCATCGGGGGTGAGTCCCGTCGGACACGAGCCCAGGCTGCCAATCCCTCTTGGGACAGGAGTGGGGGCGCAGGGAGGGCTCCCCGGCAGGACTTGGGATGCGGGGAAGGACCGGGGGTGCGGGGGCGGCTCCCCCCGCCCATCACTGACCCCCCCCCTCCCGGCAGCGGCGTTCCTGACGCAGTCCGTGTGCCTGGACGACACGACGGTGAAGTTCGAGATCTGGGACACGGCGGGGCAGGAGCGGTACCACAGCCTGGCCCCCATGTACTACCGGGGCGCCCAGGCCGCCATCGTGGTCTACGACATCACCAACCAGGTGGGGCAGGGGCTCGGGCGGGGTCCTGTGTCCCCACAGGGACGGGGATAGTCCCTGAATTCCCCCCTCTGCCGCAGGAAACCTTCGCACGGGCCAAGACATGGGTGAAGGAACTGCAGAGACAAGCCAGTCCCAGCATCGTCATCGCCCTGGCTGGCAACAAGGCTGACCTGGCCAGCAAACGCATGGTGGAGTATGAGGTGAGGGGGGCCCTGGGGGTCCTGGGGGCCAGGGGGCGCTCCCAGGGGAGGTGCTGGAGCTGACGGGTCCTGTCTGTGCAGGAGGCGCAGGCGTACGCGGATGACAACAGCCTGTTGTTCATGGAGACGTCGGCCAAGACAGCCATGAATGTGAACGATCTCTTCTTGGCCATCGGTGAGGCTCCCCGGGGCACACGGGGGGGCTGATTGTCCCACCCCCAATGGGTTTCATGGGAGGCTGAGCAGGGCAGGGGGGCTTGTGCTAGGGCTGGGAGGGAGCAGCGCAAAGGGAAGCGGCTCCTTCTCACTGGGAAGGGCCCAACTGGAGAGGAGGAGGCTCAGGGGGGACCTTCTCGCTCTCCACAACTCCCTGACAGGAGGGGGGAGTCAGGGGGGTCAGGCTCTGATCCCAGGGATCGAGGGACAAGACAAGAGGGAACGGCCTCAGGCTGTGCCAGGGGAGGCTCAGGTTGGACATCAGGAGGAATTTCCTCATGGAAATGGGGTTGTCAGGCACTGGGAGGGGCTGCTCAGGGAGGTGGTGGAATCCCCACCCCTGGAGGTGTCCAAGGGAGGACTGGCCATGGTACTCAGTGCTCTGGGCTGGGGGACAAGATGGGGATCGGGCACAGGGTAGACTTGATGGGCTGGGAGGGCATTTCCAACCTCAGGGATTTGGGGATTCTGTGCTGAGGTGACTCAGCTGGGTCACCCCTCCCAATCCCACCTCCCGTGTCCCCTCTCCAGCCAAGAAGCTGCCAAAGAACGAGCCCCAGAGCACGAGTGGCGCCGGGGGCCGGAGCCGAGGCGTGGACCTGCACGAGCAGAGCCAGCAGAACAGGAGCCAGTGCTGTAGCAACTGAGCCAAGATCCCACCTCCATCCCCGTCCACGCCGCACCTCCACCCCAGCACCGAGACCCCCAACCAGGACCCTCCCAGAGCTCCTCTAACTGCACTTTTTAATGCTTCGAAGCCACCACTCGGCACCTGATCCCACCTGGCACCCGATCCCACCTGGCACCCGATCCCACCGGCTCCCGATTCCGCCACCACCCCACCCCCCACCCTGGAGGCAGCGGAGCCAGATCAGCTGGGACTTAACTTCTGAGAAACAACGAACTCTTCTTCACTTTGTATTATAGGTGCAAATAGCGCCCTAATGCTCGGATTTCTCCCTCCATCTCCCCCCTCTGCCCCTCCCTCTCTGCTTTGGGAAATCTGGGTTCCCCAAACTGCCTCCTCCTGCCCCCACCCCGGTGTGGGGGGTCCCTAGGAGGCGGCAGCACCGACCTCGCCGGTTCTCGTCGTGCCGAACTGGCCGGAACCAGAGCCCTCCGGAGCCGACGGGGCTTTTCCACGGGGTCTGTCATGGATTTCTTCGGAATTTTTATTAATTTCTCCCCCCTCCTCTTTCCTGTTGGGCTGTCAGGGGGAGGGAAGCTGCAGTGTCCTTCATTTCTTCCGAGGTGGCCTTTTTGATGGAAGATTGGAAGTGCCTGGGGACTTTTTTTTCGGGGGGGCAGTGGGCTCCTGCTGGACCCCAAGTGCCATGGGAGACCCTTCCCCAGTGCCCGCCCTCGCCCCGCTGTGTTATGGCTCTGTGGGGAACGTCCCCACGGTCACCCTGGCTGTGGCCACCCCACAGTGATGTCCCCTCGGTGACCCCGGCTGTGGTAACGATGTCCCCCTGGTGATCCCGGCTGTGGTGGCCCCCCAGGTGCCCACAGTGATCCCACCCCACAGGTGACATCCTCCCGTTGGTGCTGGTGGCCACCCCCCAGGTGACACGATCCCAGCTGTGGCTGCCCCGTGGGCAGTGCCCCCCTGCTGATCCTGCCCCAGTGATCCCGGCCATGGCCACCCCACGGGCTGTCCCCTGCTCCTGGTGATCCCAACGCACATCCACGTCCCCCTGGTGCTCCCACCGATCTCCACGGTTTGTCCTGGTCCTGGTTTGCACTTTAGTGGTGAAATGTCCTGTTGAGACTCACCTCGGTTCTGTTGATGTGTCGGGGGGTGCCGGGGGGGCAGCAGCCCCTTTGTCCCACTGCTTTTCCCTATGGAGCTTTTGGAGCTGGAGGGACCCTGGGTGGGGTGGGACAGGCGAGGACCTCCATCCCAGGTGCTGCCACGCAAGGGGGCACCCCAAAATGGGGACACCCCAAAACAGGGACACCCTGAACTGGCAGCACCACCTGGGCCTGTCTCCCTGCTGGCAGCTTGGGGGGCTCTGGGGACCCCCAGGCCCGGGGGAACTGGGGGGGCTGTGGCTGTGGGGCGGAGGGACCAGTCTCATATGAAGCCCCCCAGCGTGGGGGCAGAGCCTACAGGATTTCAGCCCTCTCCTGCTGTCGGAGCAGCCCCCCAGGGACCCTCTGGCTGCCGTTCTGGTGCTCCCAGTGCTTCATGTCATGGCCTGGGAGCCCCCCGAGTGGGTGACACGTATTTAACAAAGGGCTGGGGACCCCAACCCTCTCCCCGCCATCTTCTAGCCCAGACCCTGGACCAAATGGGGGACACTGCAACTTCTCTCACTCTTTTTTTTTTTTCCTGCTTTTTCTCTTATTGTTGTTATTATTTTTGCTTTGGGAAAGCTCCTCCATCGCAGTGAAATAACAATCGTGGTAACAGAACTCGGCCGCTGATTTACCGATGTATTTAATGTAAGTAAAACCAAACCGAACAACAAAAACAGAAGGAAAACGAAAAAACAAGAACTTTGTGTGCTCAGGGCGGGGTTTAGGGGCGGGGGGGGGTGACTTGGACGACGCAGCCACCGGCTGTTGGCACCGAGCAGGAGTCGGAGCCATCCGGTGCCAACAGCCGGTGTGAGATCGCGGCTCTGCCCTGATAACGCTTATCAGAGCGCCCAGCTGGGTGGCGGCCGCCGGGGCTTTGCCCCCTCCCCTCTCCGGGACAACCGGGACCGGCACCGGGACAGCGCTGCCCGGTGAGACCCGAACGCGTGGCCACTTTAAGCCCCCAAGTACTGCGACCGCTGTTGCCCCTTTAAGCCCGGGCTGGTGGGGCCCACTCTCCGGAGAGGCCACGCCCACGCGGCCCCGCTAAGGTAAACAGAGGGGGCGTGACCGGGGGGGTTCACCCCTTGAGACCACGCCCCTCGCCCCCCTCTTAAAGCGGCAGCGCCGCGGGGACGTCGCGGGACCGGAACCGTTACGCAGGTGGGCGGCGGGGGCAACCGGGATACGGCCGGGACCGGGCTGGGGCTGGGGAGGGGGGAGCACCGGGACCGGGCTAGTGGAGGGAGAACCGGGACCGGGATGGGGCGGGGGGAAAAAACTGGGAGTGGGACCGGGCTGGGGTTGGCGGGGGGAGAGAAGAGGGTTTGTCACACGCAGAGGTCCCCGATTCCTGCTTCCCTCGGGAGCGTCACGGGGTCCGCTTCCCGGTAACGGCGTCCGGTGACCGTTCCAGCCGCCCTGTGTTTCTCTCCCGCTCAGGAACTGCCGCGATGCTGCTGCTCCGGGCCGTCGTGGGGCGCAGGTAAGAGCCGCCCGCCCCGTCGGGGCTCCCCGGTGCCCGCCGGGGCCCGGTGTGAGCCCCCGTTGTCCCCGCAGGCTCCCGCCGCTGACGCAGCTCCGCCGCGGCTCCTCCCGGTTCACCGCGGGTGGCGCGGCCGCGGGGGGACAGCGGGGGGCGGCCCCGGTGCTGGCGGCGCTGCTGGGGCTCGGGGCCGTCCTCGCCTACGGAGAACGGCGGCGAAGGGTGAGCGGCACCGGGGAGTTGAGTGCCGGGATGGCGGGGAAGGCACCGGAGGGGCAGCACCGGGGGTGGGGTCCTGCGGGGTGGGGTGACATCCTGGGTCCTTCCCTGGGACGGGGGCACCGCGGGTGGGGATCCCGGGGAAGGGGTGGCACCAGCACGGCGGGGTCCTGGGGATGCAGCACCGCGTGAGGGGGATCTCGAGAAAGGACGTGGCAATCGGGGAGGGAAGAGGGGGCACTGGATCCTGGGAAAGGGGTGACATCGGGACAGCGAAGTCCTGAGGATGAAGAACCGGGGGGGTGGATCCCAGGGGAAGGGGGTGGTGCCGGGGGGTGGATCGCGGGGGAAAGGAGCCGCACCGGGGCGAGGGGTGGATCCCGGGTTGGGAGGAACATCACCGAGACAGCGGGATCTGGGGAATTCAGTACCGAGGGATAGGGGGGAAGATCTGGATCCTCTGGGACCCCCCGATTCTTCCCTGGAACGGGGATAGAGTGTTTAGCTGGGGAGGGGGCAGGCGTGCCCCTTCCCCTCCCAACTGTGGATCACCCCAGCAAGGGCCTGGTTTTGGGGGGACACCCCAAGCTCCTGGGTGGGGGGAGAGCCCGGGGGAAGGGTCCCCGGGTGCAGCATCCCCCACTAACAGGGCCAGGGTCCCGCAGAGCGCCCAGGCGGCCAAGGCCACCCCGGCCCCCCGGTACCCCGTGTACACACGGGAGGAGGTGCGGCGGCACCGCAGCCCCGGGGACCGGGTGTGGGTGACCCACGGCACCGAGGTCTTCGACGTCACCGACTTCGTGGAGCTGCACCCAGGGGGGGCCGACAAGGTGCTGCTGGCGGCCGGGGGGGCCCTGGAGCCCTTCTGGGCCCTCTATGCCGTGCACAGCCAGCCCCACGTGCTGGAGCTGCTGCGGGAGTACAAGGTGGGCGAGCTGAGCCCCGAGGAGGCCCCGCCGAGCCCCGACGCTGCCCAGGACCCCTTCGCCGGGGACCCCCCCCGGCACCCGGGGCTGCGCGTCAACAGCCTGAAGCCGTTCAACGCGGAGCCGCCGGCGGAGCTCCTGGCCGAGCGCTTCCTGACGCCCAACGAGCTCTTCTTCACCCGCAACCACCTGCCCGTGCCCGCCGTGGACCCCGGCTCGTACCGGCTGCGGGTGGAGGGCCCAGGGGGCCGCGCGCTGTCGCTGTCGCTGCCAGAGCTGCGGAGCCGCTTCCCGAAACATGAGGTGACGGCCACGCTGCAGTGCGCCGGGAACCGCCGCGCCGAGATGAGCCGCGTGCGCCCCGTCAAGGGGCTGCCCTGGGACATCGGGGCCATCAGCACCGCGCGCTGGGGCGGCGCCCGCCTGCGGGACGTGCTGCTCCATGCCGGCTTCGGCGAGCGCCGCGATGGCGAGTGGCATGTCTGCTTCGAGGGGCTGGATGAGGATGTGGGGGGGGCTCCCTACGGGGCCTCCATCCCCTACGGACGCGCCCTCAGCCCCGAGGCCGACGTGCTCCTGGCCTACGAGATGAACGGCGAGGAGCTGCCGCGCGACCACGGCTTCCCCGTGCGCGTGGTGGTGCCCGGCGTGGTGGGCGCCCGCAGCGTCAAGTGGCTGCGGCGCGTGGCTGTGAGCCCGGCCGAGAGCCCCAGCCACTGGCAGCAGAACGACTACAAGGGCTTCTGCCCGTCGGTGGACTGGGACACGGTGGATTTCCGCACGGCGCCGGCCATCCAGGAGCTGCCGGTGCAGTCGGCCATCACGCAGCCGCGGCCGGGCGCGGCGGTGCCGCCGGGCGAGCTGGCGGTCAAGGGCTACGCGTGGAGCGGGGGCGGGCGCCAGGTGGTGCGGGTGGACGTGTCGCTGGACGGCGGGCGCACATGGCGGGCGGCCGAGCTGGCGGGAGAGCGGCCGGCGCCGGGCCGGGCCTGGGCCTGGGTGCTGTGGGAGCTGCGGGCGCCCGTGGCGGCGGGCGCGGAGCTGGAGATCGTGTGCAAGGCGGTGGACGCCAGCTACAACGTGCAGCCCGACACCGTGGCGCCCATCTGGAACCTGCGCGGGGTCCTGAGCAACGCCTGGCACCGCGTCCGTGTCAGCGTCACCCGCTGAGCGCCGGGCACGGCCCCGGCGCGCGGAACGCGTGGCTCGAAGGTCGTCGGCTTTTATGGCCCCCGACGTGTGAAAGCGGCTCCATAAAGATTTGGGCAGTTTTATGGACTGGGCTGTTTGCTGGGGCGGCGAGGGCACAGCGGGATGGGAAGGGTGGGAAGGTGGGTCTGAGGACTTCACAGAGCCCCCTGGACCCCTCAGAGCAGCTGCCAAAGGACCCCCCTGTGCACAGGTGACCTTGGGACCCCATGGGACCCCCTGACCTTAAGTAAGCCCCTGGTCCCAAAGGACCCCTTGTTCCTATGGATCACTGTGGCCTTATAGGACCCTGTGACCCTATGGAACCACCTGACTGTGTAGGACCCCCTGACCCTACAGAGCCCTGTGACCCTGTATAACCTCTGACCTTAAATAACCCCGTGATTCTATGGGACCCCTTGATCCTACAGGACACTGGGACCTCATGGTAACCCCTGACCTTAAATAGCCCCCTGATCCAAGGGACCCTGTGATCTTATAGGACCCCATGAACCCTATAGGATCCTCTGACCTTAGGGCCCCGTGACCCTGTGTAACCCCCTGACCCTAAATAACCTCCGACCCCATGAGACACTCAACCCTAAATAACCCCTGACCCCATGGGACTCCAAACCCTAAATAACCCCCAACACTAAATAACCCCTGACCCCAAGGGCCCCCCTGCCCTGGGGACCCCCGGTACCTCCCAGCCCGTCCGGGCCCTGTCGGCCATCTGTGCTCTGTATTGATCCCCAGCTATTGGCTATTGGTCCTCTGTAACTGAGCATCAATATCGACCCTTGGTTATCGACCACTGGCTATCAATTCCCGGTTCTTGATCACCGGCTATCGGCCCCACTGATCGATCACCGGCCATCAGCCCCGCTGATCGATCCCCGGCTATCGGCCCCGCTGATCGATCACCGGCCATCGATCCTCGCTCATCCATCCCCTCTTCCCGCCCCGACCCCGCGCCTTCCCCATCGATGTTCTCGGCGCTCGGCTGAGCCCCCGCGCCTGCCCCCCCGCATGCCCGCTCGATGCGCTCGGCGCTCGGCGGCGCGGGCTGGCGGGGCCGGAAGTGGCTCGGGGGGGGGCCCGGGGCCTCCTCAGGTGGAGCCGCCGCCGCCGCCGCTCCGGACCCCCCTGAGCCCCCCAGGGCCGGGCCGGGGGGGCCTCCGAGCCCGCCCCACCCCGCCGGTGAGAACGGGACGGGACTGGGCGCGGGGGGCTGGGTTGGGGGCAGGGGGCTCTTTGGGGGTGGGTCGAGGGCGCGGTGTCTGTCTGTCCGCAGGGCTGTGCTGGGGGGGTGCTGATTTGGGGAGGGGTCCGTGTTCCCCCCCCGGCGAGTGTCAGGAGTTTCGGGGGAAGGGGCTGTTTTTGGGGTCCGTGTCCCCGGGGTGTCAGGGGTCTGTTGGGGGGCTGGTTCGGAGGGGTCAGGGGCTGAGCGGGGTCTGTGCCGAAGAGGGGTCGGGAGAGGAGAACAGGGAGGATTTGGGGGCTGTGACACCCGCGAGGGGGCGGCTGCGCCCCGAAATCCCCCCTGAGCCCCCCACGTTTTGAGGGGCTTGTCCCTCCCTCAAACACCCCCATTTGTGGGGGTGAGACCCCCCCGGGACCCCTCCCCGGAGCGATCCATGGAGAGGTATTTGTGGGAATACCTCTCGTGCCCTGGGGGGTCCCGCCCTGCCCCGGGGGTAGCGGAGCCCCCACCGCAATTTCTGGGCTTTTCCTGCTCCGTCCCCTGGATCGTTCCCCGCCGTTTCCCTCCCTCCTTCTGCCCCCATTTTTGGGGAGATGGGATTTTGGCCGGGGTGGGGGGGGCTCATAGGAGGCTCTGGAGGTTTGTGGAAGTCTTTGTTGCCCCCCTGGACGCTCCCGCCCGGGGGGCTCCGGGGCTGCTTTTCCCGGGCAAAGTTTTCCCCTCCAGCCCGGGGAAATTCCAGCCCGGGAATGCCGGAGTCTCCTCCCTGTCCCTGGCATGGGAGGCTGGGATTTGACCCCCTTCCCCCCTTCCTGATCCCCCAGGCAGGGGAGATTCCAGAGAGGCTCCGGAATCCACCGGGATGGGCAGCACGTGGCTCCAGATGGGATAATCCCCCCCCCATCCCGACCCTGTTCCCGTCGGGACCCTCCCACTGTGCCGACCCCCACAGTATTCCATGTCCATTCCATTCCAACCCTCGCCCGAAGCTCCGGGGGGATTCCCGGAGGAGGCTCCTGGGAAAGCTCCGGGGAATTCCCAGAGGAAGCTCCTGGGAAAGCTCCCGAGGCAAAACCTCTTTGCCGTGGCACCCTCTGGATCCTGGGAGGGGGTGGGGGGGTCCAGACCCACGTCCCGGCAGAGCCAGGAAAAGGGATTTTGAGCCTTGGCTTGGGCTTTTGCTTCCAAGGACTGCGGGAAACCTGAGCCCAGGGAGCCCCGGGGACGGGACCAGTGGCTCCCGATCCCGGGGAATGGCGATCCCCGGGGAATGGCGGGGTTATCCCGGGGCACACGGACTGGAGGGGAGCGAGGAGGGAGCTCCCAGCAGGGCCCATTTCTGGGCTCCCGGTGGATCAGCTCCAGTTCAAACCCCGGCGGAGCAGCCGGGAGCGAGGCCGGAGCTCTGTCCTGTCTGTCTGTCCTGGAGCTTCTCCCCCCTCCCTGGCTCCCCTGGAATGGTTCTCCAGCCCTCCCGGGGTGATTTACTGCGTGGTGCCCCCGGGGCTGGATCCCACACAAAGGCACGGGGAGAAAACACCCCCGGGTTGGCTGGGAATCCGAACTTCCCTGGAGCCGCGGGATGCTGGGAGCGTGCCGAAAGGGAGGAATTTCGTGTTGTTCCCCGTTTTGGGATGGTTTCTCCGGGAAGGGCTGATGTCCGGCCAGAGCTGCTCCGGCGGGGAGGAGCTTCTCCAAACAGGGAGTATTAGGGAAAAATAACATCCCTGCTCCCATGGGAAGCAGGGCCTGGAGTCCCCGCCCGCAGCTGGGCCCCGTGGCCACCCCCGGGCTGGGATTTGTCTGGAATTTCATTCCCTGCTGTAGCCACAAAAAGGGTGGAATTCGCAGCCGTTGTTTGCCTGGTTCCAGGAAAAAGGCCCTGGGAATGTGGGGGATTTGTGGGAGAGGATCCCAGCCCGTAACCAGGGTCAGGGAGGGCTGGGCTTGGACTGGGGGATCGTGGGGATCTTTCCCAGCTGAAATAGTTCTGGGATTCCTTGTCAGGCCTGTCCTGGGGTTTAGGGCTCTGTGGGGAGGCCGAGCCGTGGGACAGACCCGGAGTGCTCTGGGGGGGCTCTGCCCCATCCCTAAAACAGCGACCTCGGAATTCCCCAGGGCACCTTTCCTGGGAATGTCAGAGGGGACCGTCCCCCTGTATCCACTGTTCCCTCTTATTTGGTAAAATACCTCAAAGTATGGGAACAATGGGAGCTGTTTGACCATGGACAGAACCTCTCCCAGCACTTTATGTTCCCTTTTCAAGGCTCTTCCCTGCTCCGGCAGAGCCGCTTCCTTGGCATTTCTCTGGGAATGCTGGTGGGATGGGGCTTTCCGTGGGCTCCGGAACGTTTCCACTGACACAACCTTTGGGGTTTTGGAGCAGCAAAGGTGGAAAAAACGTCCTCAGCGTCGGAAAATAAACTGCAGCTGAGCGGAAGCAGGGCTTGGGAAGGGAAACAGGGAATTTCGAGTGGTTACTGGTTCCTACCCGAGGGGGCTTGGAGGTGTTTGTCCCAAAAACCTCTTCCTGGTGCTTCCAGAGCCAGGATGAGCTGCCTGGCAGCAGATCAGCACAGAGACAGGAGCCAGACCTCGGCACTGACAGCGCTGGGGTGGTGTCTGGGAGGTGTTCTGTGAGGAATTCCACTGCTCCCAAGGGGTCTTCCTGGCCCAGAGGGTCCGACCTGCCCCGGGACCTTCCGGGAAGGAATCCCTGTGGCAGAGGAACGGTTCAGACCGAGGGGATTTGCTGTTCCAGGCCGGTTCTGTGTGAGTTGGCGGGAGCTGAGCAGTTCCCTCCGTGGTGCTGGGGTTGGGATTCCACCCAGATCAGCAGATTCCCTGCTGGGGTGGGACTGGGGGGTCTGGAGGTGCCTGGAGGTGGGAATTGTCCCCGTGCTGAGCGTTCAGAGTCATTCCATGGCGCTTCGGGTACAGTGGGAACAATAAGGAGGATCCAGGTGGGGGATCCATGGATTTAAGAGGCTTTTCCCAGTTCTAGGACGGTCACGGCTGGGGTGGGGGGATTGAAATGAGGCTGCTCTGGAGGACTTTTCTGTTTCCTTGAGTCGTTGCCACCTGGGGAAAAGTCCTGATTTCCGTGGGAAGGAGAGCGCTGCTCTAATTGTGTCGCGCTCCCGCCTCCAATTCCCGGGGCAATCCCGCCTGCCAGCCGGGAGGGAAGTTTGGAGACGGGGCCGTGCGTGTCCCCGGAGCGGGTCAGACCCCCCGGGAGAGGATGGATTGGTGCTCCAGGGGCTTTGGGGAGGGGAGCTCCGAGCCCAGGCCGTGTCCTTGGAAGCGGCCCCGTTGTCCTGGGGCTGTGCCGGGTGTTTGTCCGTCTGTCCGTCCGCACAGCTTCTCGTGCTACTTGTCCCAGTCCAAAGGGCTCGGAGAGCAAGCAACTGGCAGGGCCATTTCCCATCTGGGGCTGGGTGTTGCTACAGGGCCGGGGAGAACTTTGGGAATTTGTAACTTTTAGTTCCAGTTCCTGCTTGGGAGGCCTCAGGCTCAGCCAAAATCAGGGAAAATAACTGTGGAAATAAGAGCTCCCGATGTTTTCTTCTGGGTTCTCTTAAAATAACAAGGAGTGAGGAATCCACCACTCCCTGCCCATTATCCCATTGGCATTGATGGGGTGGCACGAGTAGGAATTACAGAACCAGCTCCTCCAATTGATTTCCCTCAAATTACTCATCCAGTAATTAATTCCTGGCTCTCGCTCCTCGTTGTCCGTGGACTGGGGTCCAGCTTGTTCCCTGGTTTCCCTGGGAAGCGGAGGGAGTGGTGCCAGCATTTCCCATGCTCACCCCTCAGACCTCAGACAATTGGCCTTTATTTTTTTTTTTATTAGAAATTCCTGTTTTCAGGGATTTCTGAGGAGCCCAGGAGGGAAAAGCCTTTCCGAATGAAATCCCTCCTCATTACGGTGCTGCTGTTCCCGTCGTGCCGAGCCCACGGATCCCCCAGCGCGGCTGAAAAGCCAAATTACGGCTTCCATGGAAATAAAGCTGCAGGATGCGTTTTCAGACCACAATTCCTGCACAACCCCGCGCTGGGGAGGGAGATTCCAGCCCAAATTGTTGTCAGCTCGTGGAGTGAATGGATGCTGTGGGGCGGGAAGGGGAATTCCGGAGTGCTTGGCTCTGTTTTTGCTGCCTGGAATTGTCTTCGGCTCTGGGATTGACCCCGGGATGTCCTTGACCCTGGGATGGCCCTCAGCCCTGGGATTGTCCTGGCCCTTGGGATTGTCCTCAGCCCCAGGGATGTCCTCAGCCCCGGGGTGCCCCCTCCACGTCGGTGACACAGATGCCAGGGTGGGAACAGCGCCAGTGTTGTGACACCGGCCCGTGTTGTCCTTATTTTGTGCAGCCCCTATAACTAATTAACTGATCCCTCCCTGACTGGAACTGCCTCGAGTTCCCGTGGTGCCCGTGGCACTCAAGGACACGAGGCACCTCTTCAGCAGCTCTGGCAATGTGCAGCCCAGGCTCCTTGGGCTTGGCCCGTTCAGGAGCACTTTAATGTTAAAATTTTGGGTTCGGAAGGGAACGACCGATTTGTGTTGGCTCAGGAAGCTCTGTGGGATGGAGGGACCCCCTGATGGGGCTGCTGCAGCTCAGCTTTCCTTATCAAGGAGACAATTAATCTCCCAAATTGTCCCTGGTTTAATTGTTCTCCACAGCAAATGCTCCGTTCCTGACCCAGCCAACAGCCAATTAGAGCAACTGCACACAGCACAGCTCCTGTCTCCAAAACTGGGCTCATTTGGGGTTTTAACAGCTGGGAATCGATAAATAAAAGCCATTTGAGCATCTGAAACCTTGGGTATCTCTGTGGGGTGCCAGGAAACACAGGACATGGCCGATTTTCCTTGGATTTCAGGGTTGGCCCTCGTGAGGCCGCACACGGGGTGTTGGTGTTCTCTCCTTGCCCAAAATCTTGATTCTTTTTGTGGATAAAATGAAAGGGAGACACCTCAGCAGCTTCCAGAGGCTGATCCTGACTGGGCTCTGCTTTCTCTTCCAGCCAGAGCCCTCAAAGATGGATATAGAAGACTGTAACGGGCGAGCCTACATACCTGGTAGGTCCAAGCTTGATTTTGCCTGGCTGGTTAGGGTTGGGTTTAGATGCTCAGCACCCTCCTCCTGCCCTGTGCTCCGTGGCTTTGCCCCAGGCTGTTCCATCACACACTGAGGAGCAGCTCTGGGAACATTGTTGGGAACACCCGTTTCGTCCGAGAAGGGTTAATTCCCACAGGGTAATAAGATTCCCAGCTCTGAGGTGGAGCCTGGGAAGTTCTCCTTGGAGTTTGTGTCCTTGTGCCTTCACCTGGTGCGTGCTGGTAGGGGACATTGCCAGGCTTTGTGTTAAACTGAAAGGAAAACGAGGACTCTGTGCTGGGGGTCACAGCCCAGCTCCAGAGGGGATCCCAGAGGATCCAGGGGATTTAGATAGTCCTGCAGAAACCTGGGATGGGCAGTGGGTGAAAACTGGTTGGGTGGGATTTGTCCTTATCTCCAGGAAAGTGGTGTTTGCAGAGTGAGAACTCCTCAGCTTGTCGATCTTTGCTCAGGATTAGAGTGAGAGCTGGTGGAGATTTACAGGTGGCACAGCCAGAGGAAACTTTCACAGTGACTGCTTCCGGCCCTGGAGAGGCAGGAATCTGTGTGGGAGCTGGGATGTGCCAGGGTGAACGGCACGGAGGGGATGGAGGTCAGGAGCTGGAGGTGTTGGGAGGAGGATGGAGACCTTTTCTCCCTCAGCACAGTCTGAATCCTTCCTGGATTCCAGCTTTTGGGGCCTAGGTTTGAGCAGCTTCTGGAGCTGAGAGGGAAGGGGAGCAGTTCAAGCTCCTGTTTGTCAAGAGTGAAGGACCGAAAATCTGGGAACTCCGTGAGTGAGAAATATTCCATCTCCTTGTATCCTTCACAGGGCAACAAGACAGTTCTGAACCAGCTCTGGCAGAGATGCAGTTATCACAGGGGCGGTGGGAGCTCGGGGGAGGTGGGGAAGGGGCCTCTCCATGCTCCTCAGGCTCTGAATGCTGTGGATGCTCATCCCAAAAAAATGGCTTTGCTGTGCTTTGTGTGATTCCCCGCTATGGGAGCTGAGCCCTTTGGCCCGTCCCGGCTCCATCCTGCTCCAGGGCTCAGGTCCCTGTCCCGAGCTGAGGACCCCCAGGCAGGCAGGAGGGGATCAGATCCCTGTCCTACCACAATTTCCTGAGGAATTTTGCCCTCCCTTGCTCTGTGCTCTCCCATCAGAGGCTGTTGGAAGGTGAGGGATGTTTCCAGGGCACCCCTCCCAGCTCCACTCCCCAGAAGAGCCCAGATGCCCTCCATCTTCCCCCCTTTTTTCGGGTGCTGTCACCTGAGAGCAGGAGAGCCTGTCCCAGCTCCGTGGATAACCAGGGTAACTGGGCTCCAGGCTCCAGAGCCGTCTCTTTCCTGACATTCAGGTTTCCATTTTTCTTTTTTTAGAACTGCTGAAACGTGACCCCAAAATTTCCTGAAATCCCAAATCTGAGCAGTTTTCCGAGAGGGAAATTGCTGAGGGACCATGGGAACGAGGCGCTGGCTGCTCCCAGGGGTGGGGTTGCAGCCCCTGCTCCCAGGGGTGGGAGTGCAGCCTACCCGTGTTCCCAGGGCTCTGAGCCATCCCCGGGGGTCCTGGTGCCAGACCCACTGCTGCACAAAGGGAAAAATCCTGTCCCTGTGTGTGTGTGATTTTCCAGAGGGGGCTCCTGGCAGGGGTCCCTGACAGTGATCCCGCCTCAGGAAGCTCCGCCCTGGCCTGATCCCGATTTTGGGGCGGGCTGGGCACCAAGGATCAGCTCAGTGATGTTTCCAGTCAGGAGGAGCCTGGGGATCCTTTGGGATCAGCAGGATCCTCAGGGATCCAGAGGATGAAGCTGGCTGGCAGAGGAGCTGAGCTCGGAGCCTACGCCGGGTCTTGCCTTTGTGCTTGCGGGGACTGAGGAGAAATTTCCTTTTTTAACTCCTTAATGTTTAATTCCATTGGAATCTGGAGGCTTTAACCTTTCTCCAGAGCCCGGCAGTCGCTGGGATCAGGGAGAAAGGCACAGGAGGTCCTTCCTGCTCTCAGCATCCCCTGGATGCTTTGCCAGCAGCCCAAATCTCCTCCTCAGGGATAAACCCGGGGCCGGGAGGGGCTTTGTTTGTGGGGTGGGCAGTGCATGCCACAGAAAGCTCCTCAAAAATTCCTCGCGGCTCCAGCACGAAGCTGTTCAAGGTGTGTGTGGGGAAGGAGCGAAGGGACACTTTTTGAGCTCTGGGTCCACACCAGCCCCTGTGGCTCCTTCCCCGGAGCTGCGGATCGAGCAGCAATGCCGGAGGGTCGGAGCCCATCCCTGGCTGTGGCTGAGCTGGGAGGGGGAAACACTTCTCCCTCTGCTCATTCCGCTATTGGGGATCCTGTGCCTGGTGGCTGAGTCCCCTCCCGCGTCCCGTGCCCACCTCCCCGTCCCCCGCTCTGCCTCCTTCCCCGTGCCCTCCACAGCCCCGGTTCCCGCTCGCCCGGTGCCTCCTGACTGTAAAATGACGGACGTTTCCCTCGCTTCCAGGAATCTGCTCTTCCTGGAAGGTGAGTGGCTGCGTGCGCCCTGCCAGCGACGCAGACATGCACACGCAGCCCGGAATCCAGCGCTGTTTCCAAGGAGTTGGATGTGATAACACTCCAGGGTATCTCCAGCAAGGTACAATAAATGCGCCTCAAACGGGAGCGAGGGGCGGGAGGATCCGGAAATAACTCGGGCACGGCTCCGCTCGCTCTGTGTGTGTGGAGAAGGGATGCAGGGGCTGTGCTGGGCTCCGGGGGGCTCTGGGGTGCTGGGATTCCCTGTGCCAGCAGGAGGAGGGGGGGGAAGGACCTGGCCCTCCTGAGTGCAGGTTGGAACGAGGTGGGCTCAGGACGCAACTCTGAGACCCTGCAAGAGGGTCCGTCCTGCCCCACTCAGAGTGGGTTTGGCACCGGGATGTGCCCTGAACTGACTCTGGAGAGGGATTTAAGGGTGTCTGGAATTCCCTGTGCCAGCAGGGAGGAGATGGGGGAAAAGGCCTGACCCCCCCGAGCGCGGATTGGAGCGAGGTGGGCTCATGACACAGCACCGAGACCCTACGAGAGGGTTGGTCTCACCCCCACACAGAGGGATTTGGGCTCAGGATGTGTCTCCAGAGTAGCCAGAGATCCTGAGCAGCTCCAGGAAGGGATTTAGGGGTGCTGGAATGCAGGGACTCATTGGCTCCAGGAAGGGATTTAGAGGTGCTGGAATGCAGGGACTCATTCCCTCTGGGCATCATCATCCTCAGGCTCAGAGTCACTGGCAGCAGCTCTCCAGCCTCTCAGGAGCATGGGGAGGGGAGAGGGAAGGGTGCTCCAAGTCTCTCCCACTGCCATCCCAGGAGGGAAGGAACCTTTAAATCCCGCCTCCAGGAGCTGAGGCCGCTGCTGGGTGTCCCAGGCTCTCCAGGGACACTTCCCATGAGCGATTCCCATGCTCAGCGAGGCCGATGAGCTCAGCCTCCCAACAGTCACCAGACAATGGGACAAGCCGGGCTCGGGGAACACGGAGAGGAGAGTTTTCCAGCTGCCAGTGTTTAGAAATAACATTCCCAGCTGTGCTCAGGGAGCTGCTGCACTTTCCATCATGAAACTGCCGTTCCCGCAGCATCGCCCGGCTCCAGGGCGGCCGGGGGGGCTCCAGGGATTGCTGGGATTGCCGGAACAGACACTTGGTAGCCCCCGAAGGGGAAGGAGCGAGGGGATCCATGGACAGCTGTGTCAGGGAATTCATGTGCTGGTGTGAGCGGGGAAGGGCCCGTGTCCAAGTGGGGAGGGATCGGCTTCCCAGGGATGTGAGTGTCTGCTCGGGAATTGTCGTGGAGGGGGATCCCAGTGCCTGGTGAAGGGACAGGTCCTGGGGGTTGGTGCTTGGGCGGGGGGTGGTCTGGTCCCCCTCGGATGGACGCCTTGGCTCTGCCGTCGGCTCCGGGATGCGGGGTTTGGGAAGCTCCCAGCTGGAGGGCTGGAATCCGAAATGCACCCAGCCTAATACCATGGGAGTAAATTCCTGCCCTCCAGCCCCTTCCCAAAGCCGAGGGGCCGGGCAGGGGGCTCAGCGGGGGGATTCCCACCGGCCACTGCTCACTCATGTTTCCCTCCTCCCAAAGGCAGTGGGGATTCCTCGCTGGAGAAGGAATTCACCTCGGCGATCGTGGGCCCCGCGGTGAGCACCCCCAACAGCCAGCACTCCTCCCCGAGCCGCTCCCTCAGCGGTGAGTATCCTGACCCGGCTGTTCCCAGTCCCTGCGCTCTGCCAGGAATTTCGACTTCCCGCTGTGACAGATTTCGCTCCGAGTCTGACTCTTTGTTTTCCAAGCAGAGGGGATAAACCCGGCTTTGGGCTCCGCGTGGAGCAGCTGCCTGGTCCCTGATCCCAGTCTCAGATCCCGGGCACTGATCCCAGGAACTGGCTGCTGCTGAGCTGGGTTTTTTTTTTTGTGGAAAAACCAATGTTGAGGGGTGGAAAAACCTCAGCCGGGGGTGGAGGATTCAGAGTCTTTCCTTGTGGTCCTGAATTCCATCTGCACAAGAAGTGTGTTCCATACTGTCAGGGATCGGCTCTGAGGGGCTGTGGAGCTGTGGGTTTCTTTGGAATGAGTTGTATTTTATATCCATCGGGATGGCAGTGTGGGAAACGAGGAGCTTCCTCTTGTGTGGGAGCCGGGGCGGGTCGGAGCAACTCACAGAGCAGAACTTGGCCTCAGTGGGAATGAGGCTGTTGGGAAGTTATTTGTGTCACTGCCGTGGATTCAGAGAGGCCCTGGGATCCTTTGGATACACCGGGAATGCCACGGGCTGCTGAAACCAGCTCCCGGATGGGCTGTTGTGTCCCTGTCCAAGTGCCATGAGCCGAGCTGGTGACCCGACAGGGATCCAGAAATGGAATTAATGTGGGGAATGAAATTCTCCATCTCCTTCCCTACCCACCCTGGAATTCTCTGCTTTTCAGTAAAAATGAACAAAACTGCTGTTTGAGTTCTGTGTAGGAGCCCCCCCTCAGGCAGGTCCCCTCTCTGAGCTGTGGCTCCATCCCGCACACTCCCACTGCTTCCTCTGCCTTGCGCTCCCGATATTCGCAATCCAACAGTTGCTCCAGCTCTGGATGAACCCAGCCAGCCCCGAAACACCTGGCCCAGCTCTGATCTTTCCTCTCTCCCACTCCCAGCTGTCACTGCACATCACTTTTCCCTGGCAGAGGAACTCCCCGTCACTTATCCGGTGAGGTCGTGGCATTTGATGGTTGTTTTTCCTGAGCTGGGATAAAATAAACCCCAACACCACAAGTTCGGGAGGACAATGCTTGGAAATAGCTCTGTTACCATATTACTCGTTATTTATCTTGCACTTGTGCTCTGAAGCATGTGGAAGCTCCTTGCAGAGATGAGATCTTGGTGTTCCAAGGGGTAGCGCGGCCTTTTTGCTCGCTGGGAAGCCAGAGGAATATTGAACACGTGGAAAATCCCGATCCCTTCCCCTTTAACAGCAGGACACGGGTGATGGCATTGCCTCTGATCTGACTTGACTTCACAGCTGGTTCATCCGGCGAGCGCCGTGCCCAGAGGAGCAGGAATATTATATAACCTGTTCTGCCGGCAGAGACTTCTCCCGGACCCCACGTCGGATCTGAAAGGAGAATTACAGAACAATACTTGGCCTCTCTTCTATGCCCAGGAAAAAATTAGTCCCCGGGGGAATGGGAGAGGAGAGAAAAAAACCCAACAAAACCCAACCACAAACATCAACTCGTCCCAGCAGCTCCGGCGCGGAGCGAGGAGCTTTTCACTCCGTGTTTGCGCACGGAGGCGGCTCCTGGTGCTCCCAGGGGAGCGTGGTGGCACCGGATGAAGTCCTGTTCCCCCCCGGGAATGCTCCAGCCACAGCCTCCTCCCAGCCTCCTCCCATCCAGGGGCTCAGCACGTGGCCTGGAAGTGCCTGGGGGTGCCAGGACCGGGGGACGCGTTGCCCGGAGCCCCCCGGGGAAGCAGCATTGTCTGTGCCGTGAGGATCCAGGGAGGGAAGGAGCCAGAGCCAGAATTCCTGGGCTCTTCACCCAGCAATAAACCTCAGGCAGTCTCGGATGAATCACTTCCATGCTGCTGCTCCTCGGTAATCCCCACTTGCAGGGCTGTACCTGGCTCCGGGGAAGAGCCCGAGTGCCGAGGGTGGGGGGCTGGCCTGGCTCCTCGGGGGTCCCACGGCACCGGGACCATCCTGCCGCACCGTCTCCGCTCTCCGGCGTTTGCGCGCCCGCCTTGCCTGGTAAGCGACCCAGGGAAGGGTCTTCCCCGCCCCAGCTGATGCCAGAGTTTATCCAGACCCGCCCCAGCTTTTAAAGGAGCCCCAGGATGTTCCCGAGGTTTTCTTGAGTCCCCTCAGACGGTCCCGGGGTGTCCCTGGGCTGTGGGTGAGAATCCACACTCTCACAAAGAGCTGGACCCCTCCAGGGGACACATCAGCTCCAGATTTGGGAACCACTGGGAATTCTGTGGTTGTGCTCTGTCTCTCCATTCTCCACGAGGCAGCTCGGACTCCGCCAGCTCCTGCCCTCCAGGAAGCCCCCTCTCCTTGAGCAGGCAACGCTCTGTCCCTCCAGCCCTGCGGTTCCCCTCTCAAGGGACTGGGAAGAGCCTCCTGCTTTAGAAGGAAGAAATAAGAATCTGATCCTTAGAGGAATTCTGGAAATATTTAGCTGGAGCCTTGGGCTCAGTGCTTGTGGGTGACCTGGATTCCACTTTGCTCCATCATCCTCCTCCTCCAGCCTGCCAGGACCAGCGCCACAGGAGCAGGTCGCAGATGCCATCAGCTGAGGAGCCTCCCAGGGAATTCCCTCTTGCTCCCAGCTGCTGGTGTTGGCTTAAAACGGGAGGAAACTTCCCAATCTGATCATTTTGAGCCCGGATCTCCAGCCTGGTGTCTTTTCCCGAGGGTGTCTCAGCGGTTCTCCCTCAGGCAGGGGGTGCAGCTGCATGGAGAGGTGGGACAACCATTTGGATACCTGGCTGAGGGAGGAAGTGTGTGGGATCAGGGTGGACGAGTTCACTGGGAAGGAGGAGAGGGAGAGTTTCTCCCTGTCCTTCCCATCCCAGCTCCCTGGCAGCGCAGAGGGAGTGGGCTCGGGAGTGTTTGATTTGTGGCATTCCTCAGATCATTAGAGCAGTCGGGAATGTAGGTCAGGACTGGTGCATCCCCTCCATCCTGGTGCTGCAGGAGGAGGGAAAGGTGGTGGTGGGGAGGGAAATCCAGGGGTTCTGCTGCAGTGGGGAGACCCCCCGTGCTGCCCCTGCGGTGTCTGGAGGGTGGGCTTATCCAGCACAGCTCCACCAGCCCCTGCTCCCATTTAGGACACCAGCACTCCTGGCAGCCACCAGCCCTCGGCTGTGGGACCTTTCCCTGGTCCCTGGCATCACTCACATCCCCTTCCATGTCTTTCCAGGGGTTGTCCATGTCTGTCCCTCCATGTGTGGCCCCGTTCTCTTCATGGGATGAGGGAAAGGCAAGAGGCCAAGGTGCCCATGGGTCAGGTTTTGGGTGTTCCCAGGCAGCACCTCCTGCTCCACTCCTTTTTCCTGACATTGGATGCCAAAGGTGGAAGCTGTCAGTGAAGCCATGGCTGTCCTGGTGAGCCCAGGTTTCCTCACTGCCCAAGGAACTCGATGCTCAGCTCCTTCTGCTGCGGAGTTTGAGCCTTTCTGGATTCCAAGACTTGAGATTTGGTGTCTTTGCTTGCCCTTGAATCCAGGGAGTTACATGTCTTTTCCCTTGGGACAAGGAGTGAAGATCTCCAGGTGTCCAGACCTTGGATCCCCTGTGGAATCTGTTCCCGAGGGCCCGGGGAGACGCAGACTGATCACAAATAAATCACCGAGCCCGTTGGTGTTTCTTTCAGGAGTAATTCCCACCTGAACTCTGGGAATTCTTCTGGGAGTTTTTCCTGCCCTGACCCGTGCCGTCCCCTCTCCCTCCCCGCAGCCAACTCCATCAAGGTGGAGATGTACAGCGATGAGGAGTCCAGCCGGCTGCTGTCGCAGGACGAGCGGATGCTGGAGAAGGAGGACAGCGTCATCGTGGAGGACTCGCTCTCGGAGCCCCTGGGCTACTGCGACGGGGCGGGCCCGGAGCCGCACTCTCCCGGGGGAATCCGCCTTCCCAACGGGAAGCTGAAGTGCGACATCTGCGGCATGGTTTGCATCGGCCCCAACGTGCTCATGGTGCACAAGCGCAGCCACACCGGTGAGGTTTGGGGCGGGGGGGGCTCCAGTGGCCTGGGGGGGTGGGCTGGTGGCCACAGATGCCGTGGGAGAGGGCTGGCAGGTCCAGGTGCTGACCCCACAGATTGAATTGGGGAATCCCATGAGGATTTGAGTTGGGATGGACCTTAAAGATAGATAGTCTCATTCCACCCTCTGCCACGGGACACCTTCTACTAAACCAGGTTGCTGCAAGCCCCGTCCAACCTGGCCTTGGACACTTCCAGGGATGGGGCATCCTCTGGGAAATCCATTCCAGTGCCTCACCACCCTCACAGGGAGGAATTTCTTCCCGATACCCCACCTAACCCTACTGTCTTTCCCTGGGAGTGGTGGCCAGAAGGTGCAGGTGAGGGAAAGTGCAGGAAAGTGCCTGTGGCTGGTCTTTCCTCGTCCCTGTCCCCACTCCAGCAGCAGATCCGTCCCTCCCTGGGTTGGGGCCACATCTGGATCACTCTGGTGGCTGACCCAGGGCTTTCCAACGCGTGGACACCTGGGGAAGCTCCCGCTCTGCAGGGCTGTTGGCTCTGAGCAGGAGTTTCACCCGCTGCTCCGGTTTTCCAGGAGAAAGGCCCTTCCACTGCAACCAGTGTGGAGCCTCCTTCACCCAGAAGGGAAACCTCCTGCGCCACATCAAGCTGCACTCGGGCGAGAAGCCCTTCAAATGTCCCTTCTGCAACTACGCCTGTCGCCGGCGGGACGCGCTCACCGGCCACCTCCGCACGCATTCCGGTGGGTCCCCAGGGCCAGGGGGGTGGGCTGGGGGTGGGAGCCAGGGAGGGAACACGGGAGGATGGTGCAAACCCAGGGATTTGGGCTGGAGAATCATTGAGGTTGGAAAGGACCTCTGAGACCGTCGAGTCCACCCTGTGCCCGATGCCCACCTTGTCCTCCAGCCCTGAGCACTGAGTGCCTTCCTTGGGCACCTCTGGGGATGGGAACCCCACCACCTCCCTGGACGGCCCCTTCCATGGAGAAATTCCTCTTGATGTCCAATCTGAACCTTCCCTGGAAGGTTCACAGTCATCAGCCCTGAGCTCCCAAACAAAGTCGCTCTCTCTCGGACCAGTGCGGAGCTGAAGGCAGAGGATGTGTCAGAGTCAGGGACTTGCTGACCAGAGAGGTGCCCACAGGGCTGGTCCAGTTTCTTCCAGCTGATAAATGTTTAAATTATTTTACTGAGTTAAGACAGGTCCCACCCGTGGGTGTGGTGGAAACCAGCACCAGGGGGTTGATTCGTGTCATGTTTTGACATTGTCCTTTTTAAAGATGACATTTGAGCTGTGGTTTCCACCTCCATTTCCATGATGTAAGAGCTGGTGGGGCCATGGAGGGGAGGGCAGGATGCCAGGCCCCCATCTGGCACCATTTTCCCTGGATTTGGGCACCACTGGGGCCTTACAGCGCTCTCAGGTGTTCGGACACCTGCAGCTCCAGGATCTTTAGAGACTGCGTGGAAATGAGTGTCAGGGGCTTCCTCGGAGGAAGGAACCTTTCCCTGAAGAACCTGTTGGCATCAGGAGCCCCCAGACCCGCTCCATCCATGATAGTTCATCCCTGGGTGTTCCCGCTGCCGAGGAACAAAGCTGCTTCTTTTGGTCCTTTGGAGTCCTTCAGTCAGGAGACACGGAAATGGGACAAACCCTCACATCATATCAAACAAAAATTAGGCTTTATGGGAGCTAATTACTAAGAAAATCCTTGATTTGCTGTGGATTTCAGAGGCGCTGCCCTGGCGGGTAGAAGCGGAGGGGGTTTGGTTCTCCCTCCTCACCCACAGGCCTGAGCGTTCCCTGCGTCCCCACGAGGGACACCCGCCTTTCATCTGCAAGGATGTGCTGCCCAAAAAAGTGAGGGATTAACATCCAGATCAAACAGGCTGCGATGCCCCGAAATAGATCAGAGGCTGCAGCCCCCAGCCGGGGCTGCGCAGGGAGCTGGCACTCCCCCGAGACCCCCGCCCTCCTCCCGTCCCGTCCCCTGAACAGACCAGCCTGGGGCTGTCTGCCTGTGCAGGGCCACAAGACAATTCTGCTGGGGCCCAGATTCTGAGGCTTAGGGTCAGCTCTGGGCTCTGGGAAGAACTTTTTGGGTGAAGAACCTCAGGGATCCTAAACAGACCCACGGGAAGCATCTTGATAGCTTTGGGTGACAGATGGGCTGATGGCCTCATCCCAGAGTCCTCCATGTCCTGCTGTTGCCCTGCGCCCTGGGGGTGGGATCCTGACGATCCTGTTTGTCATGGAAATCCATTCCAGTGCCTACCACCCCCACAGGGAAGAATTTCTTCCCTACATCCCACCTACCCCTGCCCTCTGTCAGTGGGAAGCCATTCCCCCCTTGTCCTGCTGCTCCACGCTCTTTTATTATCCCTAGGAAATGCCTCTGGGGTATCCATGGGGAGTCCTCTGGTGTGGAAAACCAACCCCAATCCCATCAGGGGAGCTTGGGGAAGCACAGTTGTTTTGGAGTAACAAATCTGAGCAATTTGAGGGAATGTTTAAACTTTAAAAGCTCCTCGAGTGATAGGGATTAATGAGAATAATGGAAGTTGGAGTCGAGTCGCTCGCATCCGAATTGCTGGCTTTGAGGAATCGGCTCCTGGGGCACATTTTTGTGCTGATGCTCGGAGGCCGGGGCCCTCCTTGCCCCCCTTGGGATGGAGGAAACCCGTGTTCAGCTGCCTGAGACAATGCTGGTGCCCAGGGCGGGATTTGCACTTGTCATCGGCTCCTCTGGATTGATTTCCAAGCCGGAGCTCCGGCGGGGAAATCCAGGGCTGCTCCTGGACTCCCAGATCCCCCAGGCCAGGGCAGTGTGTGGCCATTGGGGTCCCCCTGCCCAGTGTGGGGGTTTGGGACAGGATCTGGCTCCTGGGGAGGTGCTGATCCCACTTTCCACACGGATCCAGGTGTTGGAGGGTGAGTGCGGATTCACCAACAGCCCCAGCACGTGGCTTTAAAAAATCCCTTTAAAGGTTAAACCACAAGCTGCCAAAAACAACCCCCAAACAGCCTGTAGATCTGACAGGAGCAGCACATCCCTCCCTCCCCGAGCTCTGTGCTCTGCCCTGGGGTGTCCAGCTTTTTTGGGGAGGTGACATCCCATGGGACTGATGGCTCTGGGAGTGAGGGTCTCTGCCTTGCTGGGTTGCTCCCTGTTGACCAGTTCCTTTTCTCCCCCACTGATCAATTCCTGTTCTTTTTCTCCCCCACTGCCCAATTTCTGATGCTTTTTCCCCCCCACTGACCAATTCCTGCCAATTTTCTCCCCCTTGACCGGCTCCTGCTGCTTTTCTCCCTCACTGACCGACTCTTGCTGCTTTTCTCCCCCACTGACCAATCCCTGCCAGTTTTCTCCCCCACTGATCGATTTTTGCCATTTTTCTCCCCTGTCAGTCGATTCCCACGGCTCTTCCCCCCGCCTTGACCAGCTCCCCCCGTTTTTCTCCCCCATTCAGCAATTCCCGTTGCTTTTCTGCCGTCTGACCCGATTCCTGCTGGTTTTCTCCCCACCGTGAGTCGCATCCAGCCCCTCCCAGGTCCCTCCAGCGAGGGCACCATCCCCGTGCTCACATCCGGGCTCTTCTTTTCCTCTTCCAGTCTCCTCCCCCACCGTCGGCAAACCCTACAAGTGCAACTACTGCGGCCGGAGCTACAAACAGCAGAGCACGTTGGAGGAGCACAAGGAGCGCTGCCACAGTTACCTCCAGAGCCTCAATCCCGAGCCACAGGCGCTGCCTGGCCAGCAAGGTCAGTGCCAGGGGGGTCCCGGAGCCCCAACGCCCCCCTGGATTGGGGGAGGCCGTGAGGGGTCTCTCAGCAGGGTGGGGAATGGGAGCGTGGGGTCACTTCCCAGCCCCCAGCTGGTGCGGTTGAGTTTTGGGGACGGGGTTGAGTTTTGGGGAGGTCTTTCCCAAGGAAAGGGGGTGCTGGGGGGGGGAGCAGTGCCCCCAGTGGGCTCCATGCCCCAGATTGGGGCGGAAGGTGCGATGAGCCTGCGCTGGGTGATGCCACGAACCTGCCAGTGCAGTGTGACCTCCCAGGCTCTCCCCGGCTTCCTCTGGATCCCAAAGCCCTGAACCCAAACACTCCCCAACCCCTCTTTCCAGTGCAAGAGCTACCAGGAGTGTTCTCCCTAAGCTGTGGTGCCATGAGCTGGGATTTACCCCTGCGGGCAGAGTCCCAGCAGGCACGTGTGGCTTGGGAGCTCCTCGGGAGTTGCAGGCGGGCAGAATTCCCTGGCAAAGAGCCAGAAATGGGGCCCTCCTGGCTCCTCACCCTCCTGGAGTCGGACATGGAGCCACTGGAGCTCACAGGGAGGTTCCCAGTGCTCAGGGCCAGGTTCCCCGGGGATGTGGGAGCTGCCCTCGCCCGCAGAGCGCGGGGTCTGTCTCGCCGGGGCCAAGAACCGGCAGGAGAACTCGAGGGCACTTCGATCCGTTGAAGCAGCTCCTCTTCCCAAAGTGGCAGGAGCGGGCCCGGCTGGACGGAGGAGGGATGCGGACCGGCTGCCGGCGCTCCCCTGCGACCGACCACCGACGGGGTAAGCTCGGGGTCCGGCAGCCGGTCCGTAGGTCCGTCCCAGCTGGCAGAGGGCAGGAGCGGCGTGTCCAGAGCGCTGCCCGCGGCGTCTCCGGCCTGGGTGGCAGCGTGCCTGTCCCGTCCCGCCACGCCGGCTGATCCGGGCTTCTCCCTTCTCTCCCCAGCTGAGGAGATGCGGGACCTGGAGATCGTGCCCGACTCCCTGCTCCACCCCTCGGCCGAGCGGCCGACCTTCATCGACCGCCTGACCAACAGCTTCACCAAACGGAAACGCTCCACGCCGCAGAAATTCGTGGGTAAGGGGACGTGCTCCCACTGGGAACGGGGAGCCCCCCGACACCAGCCCTGTCAGGCACCCCTCGGGAGCTGAGACCCACTCCCTGGGCTGTGGGGGGTCTGCTCGGGGCCTCTGCTCTGGGATGGGGTCGGTGTCGGACATGGTGCTGGGAAGGGAAGGGATATGGGGGGATGTGGGTGGTCATCCCAACACCAGACCTGCCTGTTCCAACACTCTAATATGGGGGGGGGTGGTATCCCAAATACAACCCCGCCTGTTCCGACGCCGGTCTCCTCCCGCAGGGGAGAAGCAGATGCGCTTCGCCCTCTCCGAGCTCCCCTTCGACGTGAACTCCAGCTTCGAGAAGGACGTGGAGGTGGTCTCAGCCCACCACCCCCTCGACGCCTCCTACGGCGGCCCCCTGTCCCTGCTGGGGGGGGAGCACCTGCGCTCGCTCCGCCTGCCCCCCACAAACTGCATCTCTGAGGTCACCCCCGTCATCAGCTCCGTCTACACGCAGATCCAGGCGCTGCCGGCACGGCTGGAGCTGCCAGGGGGCCGGGAGGCGGCCGAGGGCCACGAGGAGGTGCCCGACGGGGTGTCAGTGGTGTTCCGGGCCCGGGAGCCCAGCGGGTCTCCCTCCAACGGCTGCCAGGACTCCACGGACACGGAGAGCATCCACGAGGAGCGGAGCTCGCAGCTGGCGCCCGGGAGCAGCCGGCACAGCCCAGCCTATGCCAAAGAGGAGCCCAAGGGGCCGGAGGGACCCCCGGGCGCCCGGTGCACCCCCAGCTCCGCCAAAGAATCCCTGCGGGTGCTCAACGAGGACGGAGAGCAGCTCCGGGCCTTCAAGTGCGAGCACTGCCGGATCCTCTTCCTGGACCACGTCATGTTCACCATCCACATGGGCTGCCACGGCTTCAGAGACCCTTTCGAGTGCAACATCTGTGGCTACCACAGCCAGGACCGGTACGAGTTCTCCTCCCACATCGTGCGGGGCGAGCACAAAATCGGCTGAACCTCCTCCGGGCCCCCCAGCCCAGCCCACCCCCCTCCTCAGTTCTCCCCCCTGTCTCTAGCGCAGCCCCTCCATCCCTAGGGCATGGAACTGTTGGTTTTTCTTTTATACTCCTTTGCACTGACTTTGGCTACAAAAAGTATTTAAAAAAAAATTTTTTTCAATAATTAAAAAAAAAAAAAAAACAAACCACAAACCAACCGGCCCCGCCGAGGGGGAGCCCTTAATCTGCCTTTTTATAAACGGAGTTATTTAAATATTGAATATTAATGGACTTTTTTGTGCTTTCCCCCCACCTCCCAAACCTCTCTCCGTTATTTATTAAGCTTTTGAGTTTCCCTTTTTATAACTCTGTCGGGTCTTTTACCCAAAGAAAGTCTCACTTGAACTTTTGAGACTGTTCCCGCCTGTCCTGCCCCATCGGCTCCTCTCTGAGCCCATTCCTTGGTGCGAGCCCGGCATTGCCCGTCCCCATTCCCGGGCAAACTGAACCTCAAATTAGGTGCTAAACCCCCCCGGGACCCCCCCAGTCCCCAGCCTGACCCTTCCCAGCCCGGCAGGAGCCACTGCATCCCGAGCTTTGTCTGGGAAACCCCCGGAGTGGGATGTGGGGACTCCCAGGCACCTTCCCAGCTCCCCTCTCGTGGAGTTCAGAGCCCCCTGACCCCACGTGGGGGCAATGGGGGTCCATGTCCTCCCAAAAAATGAAGGATGAGCGTCCGGGGGCAGATCCATCCTGTTCCTGGGATCTCCTCCTTCTCCTCTTCCTCGGCACAGGCCGGAATCTGCTGCAGGGCAGGACCCCCCCGGGGGACCCCAGATCCGGCGGGACCCCCCCGGGGGACCCCAGGTCCGGCCCCCCCTTGCTCCCCCCAGCACTCCCAGGGGTCAGCGGGGTCTCCGTGCTCTCCTGGTGCTCCAGTTCCTGCTTGGAGCAGCCGGAAGCTGGAGCCTCCCAGGACCCCCACGTTTGGGACCGATGCCCCCAGCACGCCCCTCTTCCCCCTGGGATGATCCTGGGGGAATTGCCGGGATCCAGGCGGATTCCAGGGGTGAATTCCATTCCCGGTTAGGGGTTCCCAGTCCCACGGCTGGGGGGTCTGGGTGGGAGAAGGGGCCCCTCTGGGATGGGAGAAGGGATTCAGCAGCGAGAACCAAAAATCCCGGGCTCAGCCCCCGCCCCTCGGAGCTGGGGGACCCCCAACCGCAGCCCCCCTGCCCATGGGGACCCCTGGCTGCAGCCCCCCCTCCCCTTGGTGCTGAGAGCCCCCCAGCCCGTCCCCCCCGGCCCAGGATGCATAAAAGGCCCCTCGTGGCGCCCCCGAGGGCGAAACCAAAGCTGTTCCTTTGTACGGACACACACACACCTCAGGGCGGCCGCGCCCGCTGCCCCTCCCGCCTCTCTTTGGGAGATTATCCCATTTTTGGGGATTTTATCCCTTGTTTTCCCCCTCCTTTTTGCTCTCCGTGACGGCCTCTGGTGGCGAGTGGAGGTGGGGGACGGCTGAAGGAGGGGGGGTCACCCCATTCCCAGCCGCCCATAACGGGGTGCCCACGGCACCTCTCTCCCCCCCAGCGCCCAAACCAACCCAAAAAAGGGGTTTTTTAATCCAAATCGAAGCTCTGCCGTTTCCAACCCCTCTTGGGTTGGTTGGTTGTTTTTTTTTCCCCCTCTTTCCGTTTTCTTTTTTTTCCCTGTCGGAGTCTGAAACAAAACTGTAGGAATTTTGTAAAACCTCCAGGTCGCTTTATCCCTGTAAATATCTATTTTTTAATCCGATGGATGAAGAACAAACGAGGATGTGCAATACCCCGCCCCTCCCCGGAGTTTTTTGGTTGTCTCTCGTTAATGGATTCGCTGTTGTCTTTGCTTTGCCCTTTTTTGTGAGGTTTTGACTCGCTTTTGGACACCCTCTGTCCCCTCTCCCCCATCTCCCCGCCCCCAGGAGCTTTTGTATCTGTAAAATATTGTAATTAATGATTTGTGTAACGAGATCTACTGTAAGTTTTGTACTGTACTGGCTGAGGGTCTGTTATAAATAAACCGGAGTAATTTAATGCCCCCCCTGGTTCCCTGATGTGGGGGGCTCAGGGGGGACCCCACAGGGGTTTGGGTGCTCAAAGGACACTGGGGACCCCCAGGGATGGGGGGGGGGGGCATCACTGAGGACCCCCCAGGGATGCAGGGGGGGGTGACATCACTGAGGACCCCCCAGGGATGCGGGGGGAGTTTGGGGTGGTGACAGGACAGTGAGGACCCCCAGAGATGGGGGGAGGACACTGGGGGTCTCCTCTGGGGGCTTGCGATGGTGACAGAACAGTGGGGACCCCGGGGGGATGTCCCACAGGGGATACTGGGGATGAGGACACCGGGGGTCCCACCACAGGGGTGGGGCAGGAGGGTCCCCCCCCCCGAGAGTCCCCCCGGGGGTGGGGGGGGGACCCCGGCCCCCCGGACTCCATTTCCCGGCGGCCCCCGCGGCCGGTGACGTCACACAGCGCGCGAATCGCCGCACACCTCGCGTGCCGCGGATGCCTCCGCCGCTCCGAGCGAGGAGAAATAGTTCCCGTCCCCCTTTTCCCCCTCATCTCCACCGCCCTTCCCCGTCCCGCCGCCGCTCGGGGCCGCCTCTGCCCGCTCCGGTGCCTCGGGCGTAGCTCCTGAGAGGCGGCCGGGGGAGCCACGACGGGTCGGGGCGGTGGCGGAGGCTCTTCCGGGCGGAGGGAGCGCATATAAGGGCGGTGGTTCTGCGGCCGCGCCTCTTCCGGCACCCCTCAGAGCCGCCATGGTGAGCGCGGCGTGGCCGGGGGCGTCTCGGGGGGCTTTGGGGGGCTCGGGGGGCGGCGCGGGGCACTTTTGGGGCAGGAGGGACTGAGAGAGGTCTTTGCGGAGGTTTCGTGAGCGCGGGGGGAGCGTGGGAGGCAGAGGGGCGCAGGGCGGCCCATATTGGAGCAGGGGTGCTGGGGCGGTTGGATGGGGAAGGGGATGGTGGGGGCGGAAGGAAACCCCAGGCCCTCTAAGGGGATGAGGGGACATCAGGGAGCTGTTGGGGTGGATGGGGACCTTAAGGGCCGGGAGGTTGAAGGGATTTATGGGGGGGCGTAGGGAGTGTTGGGGCTCAGGGAGTGGTAGGGGAGGGCTTGGGGGGGCTGTGGGGGCTTACAGAGAATGATAAGGGTTATTATAGGGTGTGGGGGCTGGGGTGGGCTCGGGGCAGTCCCGGGGCTCACCCTCAGCTCTTCGCTCGGGCAGACGAAGAAGAGGAGGAACAACGGGCGGGCGAAGAAGGGCCGTGGGCACGTGCAGCCCATCCGCTGCACCAACTGCGCCCGCTGCGTCCCCAAGGACAAGGCCATCAAGAAGTTCGTCATCAGGAACATCGTGGAGGCTGCAGCCGTCAGGGACATCTCGGAGGCCAGTGTGTTCGACTGTGAGTTGGGGGGGGCCCTGCCCCTCCTAAAACCAGCCCACCCTGCTGCCTCTGCCACCCCAAAACCAGCTCATCTTGGTCCCCCTGCCCTCTCTACCTGAGCACACCCTGCCTAGGGCAGGGCTGTCACCCCAAAAACAGCCCACCCCCCGCTCCATCACCCCAAAACCAGCCCACCCCCAGCTCCATCACCCCAAAACCAGCCCACCCCCATCTCCATCACCCCAAAACCAGCCCACCCCCCGCTCCATCACCCCAAAACCAGCCCACCCTGCTTCCTCTGCACACCCTACCTGGGGGGGGCTCAGGACTGTGGCCTGGGGGGCTCAGGTCCTCACCCTCCCCCCCAGCCTACGTGCTGCCCAAGCTGTACGTGAAGCTGCACTACTGCGTGAGCTGCGCCATCCACAGCAAGGTGGTCCGGAACCGCTCCCGGGAGGCCCGCAAGGACCGCACGCCCCCGCCCCGCTTCCGCCCTGCCGTACGTATGGGGAGGGCCTGGGGGGGCCCCTGGGCCTGTGCCCCCCCAGAGCCACTAATGCTGATCTCTCTCCACAGGGTGCAGCCCCCCGGCCGCCCCCCAAGCCCATGTGAGGAGACTCTGCCCAGATGTGGCCCTGGGACCCCCAAGCTCAGACTCAATAAAGGGTCCTGCTCCGGCTCCTCCCGACTCTGTGCTTTTGGGGGGGGCTCTGGGAATTGGTTGGGGAATGGGGGGTGTTTGGGCCTTCCTGAGAGGGTCCCACATCCTTTCTTAGGGGGGACCCTGGGCTAACCCCCTGTGGGGAGGTGGGAGCTGCTCTAAGTCTGGCTCTGTGTTTTTTGGGGGTCTGGGGAATGGAGAGAGGGGGCTTGGGGGCTTCCGGAGGGGCTCCCAGCCCCCTTCTCATAGGGGAACCCTGGGGTCACCCCATTTTGGGGGGGTGTTGCTGCCCACCCTGGAGACCCCCCCTTAAGGGGGTCTCTGTCCCCTGGTGTTGTCCAGGTGTGTTTGGGGCACAGCTGGAGGTGTCCCCCCTGGGGTGGGTGAGAGGGGGCAACCCCTGCCTGCATGAGGCACACGGGGGGAGCTGTCCCAGAACTGTGGCCCCAAATGTGGGGAGGGGGACTCTGGGGGCTCCAAATCCTGCCTGGGGCCTGGACCTGCTGTGAGCTGGGGGAGAGGGGCAGCTCTGACACCCCCACCTGCCCCCCCAGAAGGGTAGACCCCCTCCCCGTGTTCTGGGGTGTCCAGTGTGGGCCGGGCTGTGCCCGGGGCGGTGTGAGTGGAGTTGGGGGCACAGTGGAGGCTCAGGGGGCTGCGGAGGGGTCAGACTTTGCCCGGGGCCGGGGGGGTGGGTGGGCACAGGAGCTTCACCTGAGCGGGCGGGGGCGGGACAGGGCCGGTCCCGGCCGTGCCCAGCGAGGATTTGGGCGGGCCGAGGGCTCCGGTGCCGCCGCCTCGGGCGGGGCGGGCGGGTCCCGGGAGGGGCGGGGAGAGAGCAGGGCCCCCACGCCCCCGCCCCGCCGCTGCCCCGCCCGTCCCAGCCCGTTCCCGGCCCGGCCCGCCCCGGCGGCCCCGCGCCAGGTGCATTCCCCCCGCCGCGCCCGGGCACGCGCCGCCGGGCCCGCGGAGACAGCCGCGATGGACCCGGACCGGCCCCGGGACCGGGACCGGGACTGGGACCGGCCCCGGGCGCTGCTGCTGCTCCTGGTGCTGCTGCTCCGCGCCCCCGCGCCGGGCTCCGCGCAGGCAGGTGAGCACCGCCCCGGGGAGCTGCGGCGGGATCGGGCACCGGGGACAACCGGGGGCTGCCGGAGGGCTCGGCGGGTCCCGGGACGGGCGCAGGGACCGGGAGAGTTTGGGGATCCTGGCGTCCGCGATCCCGCCGGTGCCGGATCCCGACAATTCCCGCGGCTCCTTCTCTCGCGGGGGCGTCCCGGGATCCCTTGTCCCGGGGGGACTCCCATGGCCCCGGGGGGACGGGGACCGGCAAAGTCTCCCCGGGTTGCGGCTCCGGCGGGGCCGGGGCTCAGTTCCCCCTTCCCGGGGGTCGATCCCTGGCTCGGGGCCCCCCCGGGTAGAGGCACCTGTGCCCCCCGCAGCTGCCCGGGCTAAATTTAGGCTGCGGGGCCGGGACCCGCCGATACCTCCGGGATCCGGCTGGGACAGGGCGGGACCCCCGAGGGGGAAGATCCCTCGAGAGGGGGACCCCGTCCCTGCTCACTTCGGCCCCCCCGCACCCTCCGCACCCCGGAAGGGCCGGATCCGCCCGGGAGTTGTTTTTTAGTCCGCAAAGGATAAACACCGAGGGCTGGACGCGCAGGTGGGGCCGGCGCGTCACCCCCGCAGGCCGGGGGGTGCCCTGGTGGGGGGGGCGTGCGGGGGTCGCGCCCGGCCCCTCGGTGTCCCCGATGCTCCATGTGCCACTGGCGACGCCTCGGGGGTGCCACCCACGGGGTCCGGATCACACGGGGGGCTCCCACTCCGAGAGGGAACAGTGGGGGACCCGGGAGCACCACGGGGAGCGGGACCAGCGCTGCTCCCCCCAAACCTTCGTCCCCATCCTCTCTCAGAGCCCCCTTTGTTTGGGGCCGGGCCCGGCGCACACAGACCCCTTTGTGCCGCCGCCGGCGGGGCCGAGGGCAGGAGGTCGGGGCTGGGACCCCCCCGCCCGGGTCCCCCCGGTGCTATTCCTGGCGGCGGGGGCCGGGGGGCCGCGGTGGCACGCGGCTGATAGCGGGGACGTGCCGGAGCTGCCAGAGAGGCACCGCGCTGATAACGCCCGGCCGCGACGCCGCCGCGGCGCCCGGGGGGGCCCGGCCTCGCCCCCCACAGCCCCCCGGGCAGGTGCACCCCGGGAGTCGGGTACCGGCAGCCCCTCGTGCCCGGGGGGTCACGGTCGGACTGGTTGAGCAGCCGTTAATGATTCACCACGTTGCCCAAACACACTGAGCGCTCCCGGCCACGAGGGTCCAGGGCGGGGCTGGATCCTGCCCCCTCAGCATCCTGGAGAACCCCCAAGCAGATCCCAGCTGCCCCCCGCCACTCCCCGTGTTTCACGGGGGGCCCAGCTCCCCCACCCCCCGCTTTGGGCCCCGCTGTGCCCATCCCCGGGGCGTCGAGGCTGGGGGCCGCGCTCGACACAGCTGGGACCTTTTTATAGCCCCTTTCCCTATCAAAATAGCTCTGGCCGGGGCGGGGGGAGCGCCGTGAGGGGAGGTGCTGCAGGCCCCGCGCCCCTTCCCGTTCATGCACCGAGCTGCCCGTTCTCTGCAGCCGCCCCCGGAGGGGTCTCGGGGCCGGACAAAGCTGCCTTTTACCCACCGCAGCCCCCCCGCGCCGGGGCCCTGAGTCACGTCTGCTGGGCCGGGGGGGGCTCGCACCCCTCTGTGCCCCGGGGGTACCGGTTTCGGGGGGCTCAGCCTCCCCCCCGTCCGCCCGCCACAATCGCCGCTTTGTGCGGTGGCGGGGAGGGGGCGCGTCCTTCCCCGCGCACAAAGGGGGCCCTGTGCGCCCACGCGGGGGGGGGACGGAGCCCTTCACCCCGGGGGGACCCACCGCCCCCTGCACTCGGGGGTGTCCGGGGGGCCCCAGAGTCGGGGCGGGTGGGTCGGGCCGGGCCGGGCCGGGGCCGAAGTCCGGGCGGGGTGTGCCGGGCGTGGGGGAGCCGTGCCCGCGGCACCCGCCTTGCGCAACCCTTGCCCGGCCGGTTCGGGCACCGCGCAGGGGTGGGGAGGGGAGGGTGGGGGAGCACCCGTCACCCCCCCCCGGCACTGCCACCCCCACGGCGGGGACAGAGCTGGGCCAGGGCTTTGGGAGGAACAGGGATGGCACAGGGGCACTATCATGACCAGCATGGGGGGGACACCGTGGAAAGGACAGGGACCCCGTGGGGGCACCACTATGGCCAGGACACCATGGAGGGGACAGGGACCCCACGGGGGACGTGGCTGTGGCCACAGAGCGGCCCCAGGGGCGCCGTGGTGGCAGTGGGGACAGGGTGCTGTGCCCACAGTGTGCGCAGGGACCCTGAACGGGCTGAGCGTGACGGGGGACGCGCAGCACCAGTACCAGACGCTGCACAAGATGTACAACAACTGCGAGATCGTGATGGGCAACCTGGAGATCGTCCTCATCGACCACACGCAGGACCTCTCCTTCCTCCAGGTGAGCTGGGGGGACGTGGGGGACACGAGGGGATATTGCACCAGCCGAGCTGACCCCCCCTGCCCACAGACCATCCGGGAGGTGACGGGCTACATCCTGATCGCCATGAACGTCTTCGCGTCGCTGCCGCTGCAGAACCTGCGCGTCATCCGCGGCACCCAGTTCTACGAGGAGAAGTTCGCGCTCTTCGTGCTGCTCAACTACAACCCCAACACCACCCACGCCCTGCGCCACCTCGGCCTCAACCAGCTCACAGGTGGGACCCCCCAGGGACCCAGCCCAGAGCGGTGCCAGCCCCCCAGGGTCTCTGTCCCAGACTGGTGCCACCCCCCCTGTCACCCCAGGGCCATGCTGTCCGCATGGTGACCCCCATCCCAGTGTGACAGTGTCCCCATCCTGGGCCCCATCCCAGAGTGTTTCTGTCCCCATGTACAGCTGTGCCACCCCCCTGTGCCCCACAGTGGTCCCTGTTATGGGGCAGTGGCACTGCCCCCGTGCCCCCCGTGCTGTCCCCATCACAGTGTCCCCTGGAGTGGGGCTGACCCCCAGGGTCCCTGTGCTGGAGCTGTGCCTTTCCCTGTGCCAGCCGTGGTGCTGGGCAGGTCAGGGGGGTCTGTGCCACCATCACATCCCTGGCCACGCCCTGTCCCCCTCCAGAGATCCTGTCTGGAGGCGTCTACATCGAGAAGAACGCGCAGCTGTGCCACGTGGACACGGTGGAGTGGAGGGACATCATGCGGGACCCCCGCCAGGAGCCCATCGTGAGGGACAACGGCAAGGCCTGTGCGTGGGGAGGCTCAGGGGGCTGGGGTGGGGACCCTCCGGCTTTAGGGGTAACCCCTCTGCGCTGTCCTGCAGGCGCCCCATGCCACGAGAGCTGCGGCGGGCACTGCTGGGGGCCCGGCCCCGAGGACTGCCAGAAACGTGGGTATTGGGGGCTGCGGGGGGCTAAGAGGGCTGGGCTGGACCCCTCCCCTCCTGCTGACCGCCCCCCTCCCCGCAGTGACCAAGACCATCTGTGCCCCCCAGTGCAACGGGCGCTGCTTCGGGCGGGCGCCCAACGAGTGCTGCCACGAGGAGTGTGCGGGGGGCTGCACCGGCCCCCTCCGCACCCACTGCTTCGTACGTGCCCCCCTTCCCTCGGGGTGGGGTGGGAGCCTTTGCCTGTCTGTATGATGGCATCCCTGTGTCCATCCATCCGCGTCCCCCCTCCCCGTCCCCCCGTCCATCCCGTGTCCGTCCGTCCATCCGTCCATCCGTGTGTCTGTCCCGCAGGCCTGCCGGCACTTCAACGACAGCGGGGAGTGCGTCCCGCTGTGCCCCCAGCCCCTCATCTACAACAAGCTGACCTTCCAGCTGGAGCCCAACCCTGACACCAAGTACCAGTATGGGGGCGTCTGCGTCCGGGAGTGCCCCCGTGAGTCGGGATTTGGGGGCCCCGGGGGAGCCAGGGGGGCTGAGGGGGCCGGGCCGTGACCGCGAGGGTCTCCCCACAGACAACTTCGTGGTGG